GTAAATTAAAGTTGACGGTAGAAAAACTAATTAAATTTTTTTTGAGCTTTCCCCGTGTTGAGTATGAAGGAGTTGCCTTTTTCTACTTTTGACTCACCAAAGTACCATTGGCATATTATGATTTTTGGATCTGTCAAAGTGTTACACGAGTAATTTGGATCACAAAAAAAAAGCTAAATGGAGAGCAGCCTGATAGTGTTTGACGGTAGTACACAATCATTTATAGAACTCTTTCCTACAGGTCAATATTTCAATAGTTTTAATATAATTATTGAAAGCGGCGACAAAATACAAAATGTTTTAACACAAGTGTAGGTACTATTATGGAATATCGAATCTCGGTTCATATAGTATTTAAAAAATGTGTAAATCCATTTTGTTAAAACCATTAAATGTGTTACCACAGTCGTGTATGGGTTGAAAATTGACGTTTAAACAGTTAAATAGTGTAATTAATTAATAACGCATATTATACTAAGCAAACAATGAGGCATACTGGTTTTTACAACGTCACACGGATCGAAATTGTCTCGACATTCAGTTTTTTTTTCATTTTGACACGTATGTTTTACTGCTTGAGCAAGTGAAATTGTTAAGTTTAAAATTCTCGACATGGGAAAAATCGCATTCACAATGTTTTTGGTTCCACTTGTTTTGGCGTGTCTGCACAATGCAACGGTGGCATCCCCGAAAGTGCTTCGTAAGACCATTGTGTACGACCATGTTAAACAAGAACGCCATTGGAAGGATATCATGTGGTTCAACATGTTCGAGTTAAACGGTCAATGGTTTGAAATAGACACGTTGTGGAATGAAAACAATAGAATATCAACAACGGATAAGCTGAAAATGTTGTCTCGGATGATGGGCTGCGCTTACGGTCTAAGATTGAATTATTTTTTCTTATTGACATTTGAAATCATCGACGAATGCAACAGATTGGAACACGCCGGAACCATGCTGGCTGGCATTATGTCTGACGTTTGCAAGAACAGACTTAAATCGATTGTCGGAAGAAGTAAAACCGTCATATTAAAATTGATCCTCACATTAAGGAGCATCAATGAAATAATCCATAACGATTTCAATAACGACAAATTTTATCGAGCCCTACTTCCGGTCGAAGATTTTCCTTATGTACGAACCACCGTAGAATTCGATGCACATATAAAAGGAGGCTCTATTATCAACGGATTTTTTACCACAGGTGCTCAATCATTACAAATATTTTTACGTTCTACGTGTAAACCAGAATTCAATTTGTTCGATATAACTGATGTAATGCACGATTATCGTAGAACAAATTACCCAGATTACATCTACGCTTTCTATTTGCAAACATTAGATATGTACATTGATTTCGTCGAAAAACACATCATCCAACTTGGTTTTTGTCATCCCGACGTAGAACCTTGTCAATAAAGCTAACGACCAGTTAGTTTTGTCCGAAAGAAATAAAATCATTGTGGATTATTTAACAAAATTATAGGTATTACAAGTATATTAAATAATTACAAATGTTATTTTTCTTTATGGAGTCAGTAATCAGTAAATAATTTTAACAAAATTCATTAATTTATACAACGTTAAAATGTTTAAAATATTGTAAAATATATATATTTGATTTTCTGTTTTCGATATAGTTTTATAAATTTAATAAAAGTCAAAATTCCGTTGTATGTCCTGTGTTTTCACTAACGGTGTAGCAAACTCTAATGTCACACTAAAGTTCTACATCAGTGTTAGGCATTATCTAGACTTAAAAAATGGAATATTCAGGTGGTCTGAACATTTATAATAAAACTAATAATAGTCATGCCTAAACGATACTTTAATGGACTAAATGTTCAACAAATTCATCCTGACACTTTGATGTGGCTGTGTGGACACTGCACTTCACTTTCATAATTTCTTACTATGCTGGATTATACTGTGCTTGATTTGGACTGTACTGGTTTAAACTTACTATTAATAGATTTACAGTGAAGCGTTTATTTGAATGTGATCACTTTCTGGTGTAAAAATGCATGTGGACTTGTGACCAGCCCAGCCCCAACAGCTCCGTCCTCACTGTGACCCGACCACATTGCGTACTGGCTTTCCTACTTTGATTTTAATAATAATACTTTATGAACTATTTAAATTAAAAATATTTTCCTAAAAATGTTGACTGTCCATTTTAAGCAAAATAGTTGTTCAAAGCTATTTTTAAAGTTATAAGAGTTAAAAAGTTGGGACTGAAAGGGATGTTTGGTTGGGATGTGCGCGCAGATAAAAATAATACTACACTCCACTTTTTCTCCTGGCCTAACCCAGAAACTTTAATAACTTCAAATTTTTGGAAAATGAACATCGCTTTATACAAAACCACTGTGAAAAAAAAATTCAATCATTAATTAAACACAATGAGATATCTTGTGGTTCGTGTATTTTTTTACTGTACCGGTTTAGACAGTACTCGGTTTGTACTATACTGGGGGATTTTTTTTTTTGTACCTATTATCAACTCTATTCAAGTATATAATATTATAGTAAACCGACGCTATTATAATTTTTAAACGAAAACTATATCATTCGTTTTACCGACCCGAACCGAAGCGATGATTACCTGAGTCGTTGGACCGTGATTTCGCTGTCAATTTTTCATTGCCGCAACAGCGCATATAATAATAATATTATATACTACAGAATCGTATCAAGCTCTTCTGGCGTCTGAGGTAAATTTTAATATATGTGCTCCCCCCCCCCCCCCTAAAAAAGTTGAATAGTATTGTGAATGGAAGAGCATTGTGCAAAAACATACAAAGTTTTTCAAAATCACAATTATTAAATTTTTCTCGATTTGATTGCTGCATAATCGCAAATAAAATCAATAACTTCAGCAACTTGACTTTTTATAGATAAAATAGCCCATTTTTGATAGTCTGTCCTGGCCCATAGCTGACCTTATATAATTCTTTATGAGTCTATGTTTGCTAAAGCTACGTTCGCGCGTGGCTACAGTAACAGGCATTGTCAATACGATTGTAAATACAATATCTATGTTGGGATACGATTCTTTTAAAAATTGTCATCTTGAATCAGCTGAAGTAATGCAAGAACTGTTGCAGATTTAACAGGGTCATGAATAATTGACAGCACTGCGCACTGAAAATTGGAAATCTCATCAATAAATTCTGCTCCGTTGATGTCTTTTTCATGTTTATAAGCATTAATGTTCAACAATATAAATAACAATAGCAGTAGTATTATCAGACGCACAGAATAACAATATTAGGCGATTGAAGAATTAAAACCAATTTATTTTTTAAGTGCCGTCTGAAAATAAGGTAGAACAATTTTTTTTGGTTTGAAAAATTTGTCAAGGTTTAGCTTAGCGCCCCCACTGCTATGGCACCTGAAGCAATTGCCTCGGTCACCTCACCCTTGCTGAATACGGCTTTGGAATCCACTACTTGGCGTTGGCGTGCCGAAAGTCAACGTCAAATCAAACACATTGTGCGCTTTATATGGGTGTACATATATAAATACCTATGTGCAGTATAACACAACACCTTTATGGTTGAATATTTACATATATAACATGCACACACACACACTCGAGTATTATCACCGTCATCGCCCGGCCGTGGCGCTGTACACGCGCGACAGCCGTATAAAAAATAGTTTTGTACTATTTATTTTACGCCGTCGCCGCCCGGTAACACCACTTTTTTTTTTTGCTTTTTTCCCTCGCCCAATGGTAATGTCCAATTTAAATACGACAGCCACCCCACCCCCCCGTTTGGGCCGATGTTATTTATTGCCTATCCTATGGGCTATTTCGCGCACACACACACGTGGGCTCGCCACGTCCACACGGGCAAAGCCGCTACTGCCGCCGCCGCAATTTTGATCGAGCCGGTGCCGGCTAAATCGTTTACGCAACAAAATATCGCCCATATAATATGTATATATATATATATAATATATAAGCATAATATATTTTACTGTTGTATGTGTAGTACGCACACACACCTATTCCGGACCGCTATCAGTTTTCTATTTTCTACCATTTACACGAGCCGTATGTATACATACATATAACCGCTCGAGAAAGGTATATTTTAAATGTGTAAATTACAGGCCAACTGCTCGGGCAAAATGTATAAAACTACCGTATACTATGTGTGTACGCTCCATAGCCTGTTGTAATATAGCCGTCAATGTAAATGTCGTTAAAAAATAAAAAAACTACAACACTGCAATCGTTTTAATAGGAAACGAGTGCCTCACGTTAAACTGATCGCCCTGTACTTAACACAACAATGTCCCAGTGGACTCTGGATAGTGTGGGAACTTACTGGACATATACGCCCCAAAGGGCTTACAATCATCATGCTTACCACTATCATATTTCTTGATATGATAGTCTACCCTATTTCTCCTTAGTCTAATCTCCTTACATATATATGTGTGGTTTGAATCGCCTCACGGTGTAGTGTGCAGTCATGGATTGTTATTCGATTTTCTCCAATACACAAAACATGCTAAATTATGTAATATATTTTTTCGCTTAATCGATGTCGACAAACAAAATTGTTCACTTCGCCCTGAATTGGATGATAAGTGGACCCGAGATGGTTTTGTTAACCTAGGGAGAAGGCGATTAAGTAGCTGAATCGCTTCAACGACCGATTTACATATTAACCGACGACCGTGTTAGATGAAAGGTCATACTATTTTGGATAGTTTTCAAAGTGTTATCAGTAGTGGTAGGCAGTATTAGTCCATGGTGTGACTCGATGGCAACTGCGGTGGAACGCACAATTTTTCAGTCACTATGTTATTTTCGCATTACTCGTGTTTGGATAAGATTTTTTAAGTTGTATACATTCATCAATATAATTATGTATATCTGATTGTACCCGGGCTGTGTGTACGGCGTACTAATTTGCAATATCTATTGCCTAGACATTTTTACCGTGTAATATAATATTTTGGTCTAAACTGTTTTGCAGTGAGCACTGTGGTGGTGACTGCCGTCCGCGGGTCTGTCGCTTGGATGCCTTGCGATATCGGCGGTGGCAGTGTCAACAATCTATTACCTTCACCTCCCAAAAATGCATTCACGGCAGCCGGGGAGAAATCCGAGGACAGGGCTTACATGGTGCTGTGGTTTAAGTATCACAGCCGTCAGTTATCGCCGTTGCGTTATGACCACAACGACAAGCCGGACAGGTTGCCGACGGGAGGCAAACCTATTTACAGGTAACGCCGGCGCTTTGTATGAAAATGGAATGTAATGGTAATAACTGTGTTTTCTGTGAAATGTCAACACGGTGCGGCATAACGATAGTCGGTACATTTGGTCCAATACCCTACTCGAATAGTTAGGTACATTGTTATGCAATTAGCCGTCGGCGAACAACACAACCGTGCTCGTCATTCGTTAATGTATGGAGAGTACGACATTCTGTCCTATTTGTTGTGCTCGTCGTGATAATTCATGAGAAATTCTATGACCGCCACATTTTTTAGTAATGCTCATTTGGTGTTTCGTACTTACCCCGTGCCAGCACATAGTAATACCAGTAAAACCAGTTAACGCGACAACAAGGTTTATACAGCGAGGCTCCGGTGTCAACGGTATAATTTTCATTTATTTTCACGGTTATTCCATAGTTATTAGCGTCACGTCAAGTAATATGTGATATGCTATAGATGAGCAAATGATTATGGAGGTCAGATTTCCGGAAATGATAAGAAACATCTGATTTCGGATGGTGATAAAACACAGCTGATAAACGATTGGTGATAAGAAAATAGTGGTATGAGACCACGGTTATAGATAAACCGGTTATCTATAACCGTGTATGAGATAGATGATAAGTCATCAGTGATAAGAGACATCTAATAACAGCTTCTGATAAGATAATAGTGATAAAGGACAGCTGTCAACGGGATACATGATTCTATGTTTTCCCGTGTAGCGGAGAAATCAATGTGCTTTTCTTTTATATCTTAATATATGCTGATTGCTTCTGTTCTTGTAGTATGGCTAACTATTGTGGAGTCCTGTGATGAAGTACCATTTTGTTTTTTTTTATAAGTTTTGACGTGCGCGGCCGACCATTGGCCAGTGCGCTGAAGTGGTCTTCGGACGAGACAAACGGCGGTTTCGGGGCTAGGGCGTCGTTTGTGGTGTTCAACAGCGCCGGCGAATTACTATCCCGAGGGACTCCCGTTGATGACGACGACGGCCAGCTGAACCGGGAAGACGACCAGGACTCTTCGTCCGCGTTCCAGGGAATACCGGATAAGAACGATGGAGCTGCTCTCAAGGTCACTAACATAACGGAACAAGATGGGGGCGCCTACAGGTGCCGAGTGGACTTTAAGGATGCGCCTACGCGGAATTACAGAATAATCCTACGAGTGATCGGTGAGAATAAAAAAAAAATAGTAATAAAATTAATTTCTTAGCCTAGAATTTTTTGTTTTTTATAAATTTGTCGCCTTGAAAATAATTAGATTAATTTTGAGATGTATTTGGAAAGCTGTCAAATTTTCCTTACCAGTTTTATCTGGGATCTTAAATTAGTTCGATTCAACGGGTCTTTAGTAACAACTAAAGAATCCCTGCTTATCGTTGCTATTTCATGTTTACATGATTATAATAATGTATTTTATTATACAACTAAATTTATATAAAAACTATATAAGGCAATGCTTCACGAATCACGTGCAGTATTGGGTTGCAGTAACAGTTTATTATAAAAAAAAAAATACATACTCCTCATGTTAAAATTGTATTTTTAGGATTCTTTAGAGTGAGTATTGTACAAGTTTTATAATAATAGTACTTTTAATCTTGATGTTTACTATTTAAAGTATTTATAACGAACCTGTAAATAGTAAAACATTAACACGTTTTATCACACAAGTTTGCTAACTGAAACTCTAAAAAAAAAGCTTGTAACTTGTTTAAGGTTTGACATTGATGAGTTGGAACAGTTAAATTTAACACTAAACCTAGAAAATAATCTGAGCAGAACTTGTGGTTTTATATACTTAAGCAGTGAAATACGAAATAGTTTATGACTTTAATACTTAATTAAACTTTATAACTTAACGTGTTTTAAATAATATTTATTTTATTATAAAACTTTAAACTTTCGTAAAGAAACTTCTTAAAATTTAGACTGTCATAACAACTATGTGTAGTCAATTTTCCGCACATTTATTTGATATAAAATTATTAGTTTATTAAATTGTAATTGGTAAAAAACTACTAGTGTAAAATTGAATTTATGTGAGGCATTTACCCCACCATGTTCCAGCTTTTTGCCCCTTCTAATAAGACAAAATTGTATTACCTCTCTGGGCCAATTGAATCGTTCCATGCAAAAAGGCTCTTAGTCCATATAACTTAAAACTTTTGGTAAAACAAAAAGAACTTTTGTTATTTTCAAAGAAGTATAAAAACGAAAGACCTCCATAAAAGTCAACAGCTATTGGATAGTAAAATTAAATTCTTTAAGAAAATGTTTTCTTTAAAAACTCTGTCTTGATAATTAATTTTTAAGCATCATAGACTTAGACCTTTTTTAAAAAAAATCAATAAATTCATGTAATTGTTATACTTAAAAAAAAAACATTTAAATAGAACATATGCAACTACGTGGCAAAATAAATGACAAATTAGATGCTCAGAAAGTAAACGGACAGACCAATGTCAATATCGAATTACATTATTGTGTACCGCTTTCAGACCATTTAACACACTTTACAAGTACTTGGGAAATGTTCAATATTAAGTATCAATAATTATTGAACAGTCAACAGATGTTACATGTATGACGCATTAAGTTATTTATTCAGGTTGATTTCCCCCTAGCAATATAATATAACATATCCTAACATAACAGACATACAAATAGCGATGTGGTAAGAAAAATTATAGACAAATTTTCTGCAACAATACGTATGAAAATAGCATCGCTGTTTCGCATCGAAGCTAAAAGTCAACTACTTAAATGCAAATAATTCTAGACATAGTCGATAGCGATATAAGCTTCTTTACACACCATAGCACTTTGAACTGCATGAAACTAGGAAACCTAAATTCCCGTTCTAAAACTTTACTTTAAAATATATACATTTTAAATATTCGAATAGAGTTTTTCGCTTAAATAACATGTCGCGGAAAGTGTTATTAGGGTTTCTGTTTTTTTTTTTTGTAATAATTTATAACAGTGAACAAAATATTTTTGCCTTTTACTTTTGGGCCATTCGAAATGGGCTCAGATCACCGACGTACAAGCTACACATCCAGTATTTCCAAACCATTGTGTCGCGTTTTCAGCGAAAGATTTATTTATTGATAGAGGTTTGAAAAACATTGGAAATTCCAATGTTAATGTCCATAGCGTGTAAGAAAAGCACTACATGATCGCTAATTTGTTAGGATGTGTGTACGCGAACGTGACCGATACATTCATAAAGTTGGTAAAAAACATTTCATATATAAGTAGTAGTAATGAATAGGAATATAGGAATGCAAATAGTAAACGTAGAAGACAGACTGTGAAACTGAAAATACTGCAAAATAAGAGATTGAAAACTGAAGTCGAACATGATCAATCACGTGGCAAAAATAACGACAATTCGGATGTCGAAAAAGAAAAGAACATTCACGTCAATGAATATTTATCTGACTTTGCAATTGCTTGGAAAATTTTCAATTTTATCTATCAACAATTGTTGAACAGTCAGCAGATGTTTGAATACATGTATGACACATTAAATTATTTGTTCACATTGGTTTCGCCAGAGGTATACGGTGTACATTCTAGCATAGTGGACGTGAAATATTTAGCACAGTTATTGAGGTGATACAAAGAATATCGATACATTTAAATTTTGTTCTTCCAACTTATATCGGCGAACTTGATGTTGACTACAAGTCAAAAGTTCGTCCGTTTATCTCAAGTTTGATTAAGGTTATACACGCCAAGAACTATGTTGCGTTGAGACCTTTCATAAAAAAATATTGTATACTTCCAGTGCAGGACAACCAACACATCAAACAAAAAATACAGACATTTTAAATTAAGTTTCAAGATGTGGAAAGAACGGATATCATATATCAATTTGGAAATAAAATTCAAGAGCTCGTTATAAATATGTCATCAATAATTATTTTTTAAATTTAGGTTTCGTGTACACTGAAGTCTGAACATTTCGTGTTTGGCATCTTTCCAAAGGTTGTTTATATAAATATCGTGTATTATAATCATAAAAGTTCAATGAAATATTGTAATGCATGTTTAATTATTATGAAAAATTATAATTTCTATACTGAAACCCATTAATTGTTTCATAGTTAACTTTAATAATTAATTAGCTGTTCGTTATTTCATGAATTATCATCATAAACTTACACTTTTTATATTTTACAAAAAAACAATATACAAAAATATCGACAATAGGTTTTTTTTCTAAATTATATTACAAAACTTGAATGTCTTGAAAAGGAAGCCACCCTATATGTAACACCTCTATATGTAAAGCTAAGTTATGTTATTAAGTTGTTTATTTTATGTTAGCAAGTCTCTATTACAGTTACGTTTTAGTCTGCGTGGAGGTTATCGGGCATACTGGTCGTTTTCTAGTAATGAGACTTCAGGTTTTTTTAACACGAAACGATGGGTCTAAGAACGGCGATAAAGAGTAACATTGTTATGTAATCATCACATATTCGCTCAAACGTGGACTAACGCCCTTTTTGCACGAAGCGATTCAATTACTGTTAAGTGATCATTTTTATTTTATTGACTGCACACTTGCGGTTATTAGCTGTGGCATTGCACACACACCATTATGTTGGATATAATATTCATTTCCCCTCCCCCTCTTTAAATTAACTGCGTTTTCTTAACAAATCGTATCATCAATTCGTCCAGCTTTGCGGTTTTCACGTTGGCGAACAAATTTCTACAACTAGTCCGACCTAAGGCGACAAATTGTTTTTTTTTTTTTTTGTAATCATCGTGTGCTAACATTTGGTATCTTGTTGGTTGCTTTAGTGCCGCCGGACAAAATGGCGATAACCTACGACACGGGCACGGTCACGGCAGAGATAACGGAAATTGAAGACGACCAAGACGACGTGGGACCGGTACCGGAAGGCGGTCGCTTGGTGTTGGTGTGTCTGGTCCGAGGAGGTAAATATACATGGAACGTTATAAGGATATCCATCCGTAGCACCCCGAGTGGGGTGAAATAAAATATGTATCGGTTCGGGCCGTTTGAAGGGTCAATTTTACATTTTCATTTATTAATATATTATCTCCAACCGATGAGTAGGCATCTAAATAATTAATCTAATTCCACGGGGTAAACGGCGGCGAAACTGATTGCAACGGCGGCGAAACGCCTACGACATAACGTTATATGTGCAACGATAATAATTAGTGTGTTCTCGTATAGGACAATTATAATATTACTATATGATTAGAGGGTTAGAGGATGTTTGTTATTGTCCGAATCGCCGAGTCGTCTAATCAGTAATAACGACGACGTTCGTGGGGTAATCATTATAAGCAGTGCGAAACTTTGGCTCGCTCGTTATTTGTTCTACTATATATATATATACATATATATTAATATTGCTAGTAAACATTTCTGGGTCCCCCGAGACGCTGTAGGTCGGCATTATAATAGTACCAGGTGGATACGAAGTTAGATCGAAGCGAAACTGTAGAAATCCGTACCTAACGGCGTAAAATATGTTACACGACCACGGTCATAAACACAACACGGTAATATATAAACAGCGTTGTCGTAAATAGGTCCAACATAATATCTTACATATTATATATCATAATCTTGTGGTTAACCGAACGTCGCACATAGAATGAATTTATATGAAAAAGTTGGACGAAATTGTTTCAAGTACTCGAGTGGTCAAAAAAGACACATGTGAAGCAATATTTAATGATAATTAATGGTTTGTTTGAGAGAAAAAAAATAACAATTTAGTCATTTCCATCATTAGTTTTTGATCCATCAACAAAGCTTTTCGTCGATATTCTTTCCTCGAAACTCCTTAAGTACACAATTAAAGAGTAAAGCTCGCTCTTGGAAAATCCCTAACAAACAATGAAGAATTTATAAAAAAAAAATAGAAATATAATTATTAGGATTAATCCAATATAGATAAAAACAAAACATAACTTCTTCAATTTTAAGATTTTATAGATTAAAATCAAATTAACTAAAATAATAAATGACCAACTATCGTAATTAGATAAAAGTTTGACATGTATTTAAATACTTTTAAGTTTAAAGAATGTTTAAATTCTTAATGAAATGTTGCTGTACGACCGATACGAAACACTGCGTTGTACATTGGTATGCATTTTTTTCAACTTTAGGTTTGAAATGTTTTAAAATGGATTTTCCACTTTTACTATATATTTACTATTTTTCTGATTTTTGGACTTGAAGATGCGGACATTTTTTTTGTAAATTAATGTTTGTCAACTCGTTAATTAAGCTTGTAAAATAATTAAAAATCGTATTAATATAAAGAACATACCTTTCTTTTCAATATCTCAACGGTTGTGTAAAGTTAAAATAGATTATAACAAAAAATAATACAAATGCCAACTTAAACAGTACCATAAATTAGCACAGAGAGCAAAATTTAATAATTAGATTCTCGTCAATTAATTTTCGACTTAATGTATGAGAAGGGGAAAAGTTTGGGGAACTGTTTTATCGATGCAATTCGACAAATCGGTTATTAAGCTACAAGAAAAATATTATATTTGTCGGGCATTGCTATTGATTTTCACTTTTGTCCGACTTTTTCATAGAAATACTTGTATGTGTGACGATGATTATATACTATTTACATAGGTGGAAATTCAAAAGTAGTACAACAGTTTTGTGTATCTTTGAAATACTTTTTACAAGAAAAAAATAGAAATACTAAAACCGAGATAAAAAAAATTCCTATCTTTATTCGATAGCCGGCCGAACGGTAGGTACCATCATTAAGTAGTCGATGGCCCGAAGGAGCGACACCCTGTTATTATTGGCACCGTCCAAGTCGGTGGTGTTATTACGAACAAGCTATTTGCTTAAGACGTAGGTATACACCTTCTTTTCTTGTGCCTTTTTTTCTCCGAACGTTTCCGTCACGGTTCGCCCACCACCGTCGTGCGTGTATCGAATTCGTCCGCTTTGTGTATTTGCCCTAATAGTAGAATGTACCTACCGTATGTGTAGCTCGCATTTCCAAGGCTAAACGACACCTCCTTTGACACATGCTGAAATGTCCGAAGGGCGAGTCGAGTGTACCAAGATGAAGAAATTCTCAACAACCGGCTACGCGGTGGTCTAAAATAAAAAAAAATTTTAAAAAAAAAACTATCGAAAATAACGTCTCCTAAATGTATTTTTTTAGAAAACCTCAAAATATATAACAAACTTATACTCATGCTTTGGGGGTCGCTGAGTTGAAATACAATTGTATTTATTATGTAAGTTGTATGAAATACAATTCACCCCCCGAGGAGGGATTTTTTTCGAATTTAGAAAAATGTTGAGCTGCACATCGATTATATTATGTTTTTGGGGCAGCTGAATTCAAAATTTATTTACAATATACTTAGGCAGATATACATATCAAAAAAATACTCACCTCTGTCATCTATTTAAATAAAATGTCTAAAAAAAAAGTAATGACATAATTGTTGTAAATCTGAGGTGAAATGTGAATTCAGTGACCTAATAAACATATAAATTGGTATGTAAAAATTGTGCAAAATTTAGAAAAATGCCTCCTTTGCCGCTCCTTCCACCAAATTAGGGGCGTGTTGTAAGTCTGAGGTAAAATTTGATTACAGTGCGACTTCAAAATCATGTTTTTGGCCGGTTGCTTAGTATTTTAAACTAAAATTGGACATATTATCACATTTTGTCGTCTTTTCTGAATTTAGACTACTCAAGTCATTTTTAAATTAATATAACTTCGTAATCTGCAAGTATCACAGCTGAAACCTGTTTAAAATCTTTAACAACATAATTAAATATAATTTAATAGTTTTGATTAGTTTTTCAGTTTTGTAGACATTTTTTAGTGCTATAATTACGTTTTTGGTATGACTATTATTACTTATTACAAAAAAAAAAAATTAAGTATAAACATATGTTCACAAGTTTATGTTATGAAATAATGTTGAAAACAATTTGAGTAGTTCAATCAATATCCAAAATTGTATTTTATAATAAACAAATAGAAATCCCCAAGTACTGAACTATAGTTAATAGTGGTAAAATATTACAAAAAAAAAACACTTTCGTGGTAGTATATTATATTTGTATTACCCAGTAAAGATTTCAGTTTCCTAGGTCTACTTGAAAAATTGATTTTCGATCGTTTTTTTTGGGGGGGGGGGATTTTAGACTAATACTTGGCTATTTTCCGAAATAAAGTTATGTGCATTTTAGTGGTTTTACAATAAAATGAGTTTTTATTTATTTAATGACGAGGTCCGAGTCCGTTGTATAGGAATAAATCATGGATTTTACTTTAAACGACGAATAAAACCAATCATGGTTGAAAATTTAAATTTTCTTTGTGAATAATGTTGCTATTGGAGAAACCCTATAGTTAAATTGGTCGCAACAGAACAATTTCTTACACTAAACACGAACGACGATTGGTAGACTTCAACACAGTACACCGTGAGATTTGTCACTTGACTTAACACTTGAAAACAATGTAAGCAGAGACCACAGTGTATGCCGACGCGTTCCCCTTAGATTCCCAGTGCTCAGAGCATTTTGAGTGCCTACTATTGTTGGATGAACGTGAGTTTTCATTTGAAATTTATTACAATATGTTTTTGTAGTGTTTTATACGATTTAAGATTAAACGAGAGTGTCATTCAAGAGCTTTCACCGAAGAGGTATTCCGTTTCGTCGGGATTATTAGTGGATAATTAAGCTAAACATTAAGTTTTTTTATTGAACAGACAATACGGACGATTTCCTTATATTTTTGGAGTGAAAAATGCTACAGACATTTTTTATGCAAACTAAACGCCCTTCGCAACGCGTGAGGAATAACTTGAATATTAAAATAAAACATAGATTTTTTTTTTTAACGATTAATTTCGTTCTATAAGCTCGGACAATTATTAAAACAGTGGTTCGGCTGTACTTGGGTGATGAATTAGCGGAACCCGTTGTTGGATGGGCGAGCCATTGCGGGTATGGCGATGTTCAAATCAGTTTACAACAGCCTTTGATTGATATATTGTAATTATTAAAGACGACATGTTAAACTGATAAAAAATTCCTGATAAAACAATAACGCTTAGTTAGGACGAAACAATATTGTTCACACAATACACAATGCAATATAACATACTTTTGAGCCTTCAGGAGCAAAGAATTATTATAGAATTAAGACACAATCAATTTGGAAAAGTGTAAATATGAATGAGAAAATATTATTATATTTCTATCTATTGTTACACGCCCGCAATGAGTAGAATATATTTTTTATACGTTTTGGGAAGTTTCCCGAATCAAATATTTTTTTTAGGGGTTTTTTTTTTTTATAAAAGACATTGGTTGTTTTAGGGAAACCAAGACCGCGGGTACGATGGTATTCGGTAAAGCACGGCGGGATGTCTTCACTTGACGAGATAACCGATTCAACGGAAGAAGAGTCTTTCGGCGCAGACGGTTCGGCGGTGACAGTAAGGAAGTTCACCATCAAACGGCTGGACCGGAGCCACGCAAACAGCTCATACGTGTGTACGGCTAGCACGGACAATATTAAAGATTCCACTCTGCGCCGGACCGTCGGCATAAATATGTATTGTGAGTCGTTTGATTTTCATAACTAAACCTGTTTTTAACGGAATGGCTTTCGAGGCGCTGTACCGTTGTGCATATTTCGCGAAACTCGTATCAACTTGTGCAGTTTCTTTAACGTCAAACTCAATACTAACGTGTTGTTGCAGTAAACGTGCAACGGGTAGTCCTGAGGGAAGTGCACCAGCTGGATCCGCCGGCCAGTCCGGAAATAGTGGCCGTCAAGAGCGAATACGATAAGTACGACGAACGACAGCAGAACATGGTGGCCGGCAAATGGTACACGGCCGAGTGCGTGGCCGAAGGAGCCAGCCCCAAGGCTACCATTCAGTGGACCATAGACGGCAACGGCACGCAGTCGGGGGCCGTCGAAGAAACGGCATCTCAGACGGCCATGCGGTTGACGGTCATCAAAGTGGGTGGACGGTTTAGATTTTTCCGTTTTTACCGGGGTTTTTTTTGGGTAATTTTGATTTTGTTTTTTCATACTTTTTCATTCAACAGCAAACCAGCCACAGCAGTACCATACGGTTAAGACCCACGCCAAACGATGACGGCCGTTACTTGCGTTGCCGCGCTTGGAATCCCGAAGTCATCTCCACCAACGACAATAACATGAAAAACGACGCAGTGCTAATGAACGTCATGTGTAAATATCAAACGCCGGTTGTCTGGTAGAGAGTGTTCGAGTGTCGTGTACCACTATTGTTTTAAACAATTTTCGGAAAACATTGAACATATAAGATTTTAAGTCAGTGTAATGGCACCGGTGACAGATGTAGATCGATTACAATGAATAGTCAAATCGGAGTCCGCTAAATTCTGTTAGATTTGCTGTTAAAGCGGTTTGTTATGCACTTAATGACCGTCTCGAATCGGCATTTGGTATAGTTATTTATATGTTTGTTCTATCTATTTTCTATTCAAATAAAATCGTGACTAATGTTGAGATGTTATAATCTGTGCTCAGAATAAAAGCGTGGACGAAACTACTTAAACATTGAGGCAGTTATTCAATTTGAGCTGTCACCGCATGTTCAAAAGCGGTTTCTGACATCTAAACCATGGGAAAGCTCTTACTACCCTACATTTTAAACTCGGTTATTGTTAATCGTTGATACTTATGTTTTTTAGTAGCTCAGTTCTAGATCAGTTTTTATCTATTTGAGTAAAATTTAATAAACTGTTCAGGGTACATGTACAGCTGACGGTAGTGAGGTTTCTGTGGATTAATTAATTTAAAACAGCTCTTAAAAAAAAAAATCCCTCATACCAATGTTCTATTATAGTTTACATAATAAAATACACGATTTTTGAACACTCAATTAAATAGTGGGAAAATGAACAATTTAATACCTACTAAGCTTTTGTACTAAAAACTCGACGATTTACTTCCACAGATCCTCCAATCGTAAAACTGAGTTTGGGTCATACGTTTGATCCAAATAGAATCAAAACTGGAGATGACGTTTACTTTGAATGTGCCATTTCAATGAACGACGGTGGCGGTAGAGGGGTTAAACGGCATCGCAACAGGATAGAGTGGTATCATGAAGTGAGTGATCAAAACGGATGTAGTATATATTTTGTAACATATTCACAATTAATCATGTGTTTATAAACTTTCGGATAAATTTACTATTGAGTATAATAGCAGTATAATTGTTTTTAGGGCAAACCGATAATGCAAAACGGCAGCAGCAGCAGTTCAGATATTACTAACGTACTTTTAAGTACCGGGACTCTGGTCATAAGAAATGTCGGTCGACATCATTCCGGCCGGTACACTTGCCAGTGCAGCAATGAACTAGGAATAGGTCGATCGCGACCAGTCCTCTTGCGTGTGCGGTGTAAGTATAAGAGGATTTTTAAATTTAAAAAATCACGCTTAGTAGGTCACAGGCACTAAAAGACCTATTAGGAGATAAGAATTCTTATTTGTAGAGTTGCTACATGATGAAATCGGTTGAGCGGCTTAGAAGATATCGTGGGTCCAGATTTCAGACACAAAAATAAAAAAAATTAATTAAATTATTATAAAAACAATACCTACTCGACCATGCATCTTACTTGCATGTTACACCATGCATGTTACTTTTCCTCACTTAATCTCATACATATGGGACAATTTCTATCCAACTTAGACACTGTACACGAACATGTAATCTGTTTCAGCTACTTCGATTTTAGTTTTATCCCACTTATTCGATAACCGAAGCTCACTTCCATACATCATTTTTGGTCTCACTACGGTCTTATACAATATTCCTTTCACCTTAAAAATGTCGCATTTTCTTCGATTGTCATTCGCGACTAATCACAAACATCCCGATACTACTTTATTTAATTTATCACTCCCCGTTTAAGTATCAAAAGTTTTCCACCTTGTTCTGAAGCCTGCTCATTATTGAGCTATCTCCAACACAAATGTCTTTCAACGACACTCTTTATTTTAGCTTCGATACAAAGCAGAGATGCTATTGGTTTTACCGCGATGTGGGCTTTTTTTGTATACACTGTAACTTTTTTAATACTGGACCAATTCCTTTTTTACTGTTAATCCTCGTGTTGAAACGAAGCTCTATATTGCTTTATATTTCGGTTTTATGCAGTCGCCCCGGTATGTGCTGACGACAACGACAGTCGGCGACCAAGACTTGTGGGAGTCGAAGGTGTGGGAGAAACCAACGTGCACGTGACCTGTCGGGTGCGGGCTGACCCCGAGGACCAGGTGCAGTTCGAGTGGCTGGTGTGGCCAGGGGCCGTAGCCGCCGGGGCCGCGGTCGGTATCACCGGCAAGCACCACCACCACCATCACCACCACCACCCTAACATCCACGACCTGGGAGCAAGTGCCTCGGCCGCCGACAGTTACGTGACGACCGCGTTGTCCAGCAACCCGAAGAACGACACGTCCGCCGCCATGGTTGCCTACGGCCAACTCGTTTTGACCGTGAGCGCTACCCGCGAAGTACCGCAGGACATGTACGCCGCAGAAGGGTCGGCTGTCAACTCCAAGGGATCGTCGTTGAAGTCACCAGCAGTGCTCAACACGGTCAGTTGCCGAGCGACCAACTCGGTCGGACGGCAGACGATACCCTGCATTTACTACATAACCCAAGCGGGTAAGTACCGCAACAGTGCACCCGACTCACTAGAGCGTAGAAAATAACTGTATTTTTGTTTGGCCACTTAAAAGGAGTCGGCCTTTATGTAATTTACGCTTGGCAATTTCAGCTGCCCCCTCCCAGCTGACGGGATGTTTGATCAAGATGCCAAAGGATCACGAGGTCGCCAGCGCCGTGGACGATAGCGGCTCGCAGAAGCTGCAGCGTAGACGGTTTTCGAACGAGGCAAACGACGACACCGCGGTGATCAGCTGTAACGCGGGCAACGACGGCGGCGTCAGGCCGGTCACTTACTCTCTCAGGGTGTACGAGGGCCTGTCGACGAGTTCGCAGTACAACTACGGGTTAGTGGGCGTGCACAAGTACATGTAGTTCAAAAAGAAAACAACAAAAATCTTGGTTGACTTGTGTCTTTTTAGCGAACCCAACGCCGTTGACGAGTACGAACAGACTCGGCGCCGTCGCAACGAATGGCTGGTGGGCAACGTCACCGGCACCGTGGTCGAAGGCAGCAACCGGGTCGAGTACGTGGTCAGCCGACAGCTCTTGCAGTTGAAAATCGGCGACAGCGACAACCGAAGGTACTTGAGCTTGTCGGCGTACGCAGACAACCGGATGGGTCGCGGGCCAGAGACGCGGATAGGCGGAGAAAACACACTGTCCCTCAGGCATCCATGGTGGTGGCAAGGAGGTTATGAAGAGACCAGTACGAGAACGGCCGTTTCCGGCACTTCTTCTACCGGTAAACTTGAAATTCGGAAACACTATTAAAACTTCCCCTCGCCCATTCGATCTAGTCGTCTGGGCAAGTGGTTTGTTAAAGTTTAATTAGTTTTTCACGCGAATATGTTCAAAACGTGTGATGTGTGGTTTTCAGAGTGGTGGATCATGTTGGGCGGCGGCAACGGCAACCGAAGGAATAAGAACGCCGACGACAACAGGGGCACTTCGTCTTTAGGCATATTCGTCGTCTCCGTCGGATCCGTGTTGGCGTTGGTCGTGTTAACGTTGCTTTTGCGGAAGAAAATATGCGCAAACAGATCTCTTGCCGAGACCGAGACGGTCATCGGCTCGAGCCTGATCGCCGGGGCAAACGGCAGTGGTGCCGACGACCAGCGTGCAAACGGCGCCAACAACAACAAGTACTCTTTGTTTTCTCAACAGCAGCTAAACGGTTATCCCCATTTGGACGTGCACGGGATGCCAGCTGGCGACGCACCGGACATCACTATACAACAGGACGTTTGCAAACCGTGTTTCGTTACCATTCCAGACAACGGGATTCCCGGACCGGAGAGTTGTGTATAAGTTATGGTATTATTATGGTAGAGTTTTTTTTTTTTATTGTTTTTGGCGCGTGAACGCTTCGACTGATGATACATACATAGCAAAAATGTAGATTATCATTAGCGACTATTAAACCTATTATTATGTTCGTAGTGCGTCTTCCCACACGGTAGTCTTGTCGTTGTTCAATAACAAGTAATGAAAACAGTAGAACACAATGGGTATAAGTGACATTTTTATTAATTATCATCATTATATCATAACAATAATTGTGTGTACATTAGTTGACGCGAGAAAAACAAAAACCAAATAATATGCTTGCCTTTATATTATATACCGTACTATTAACTATTTTAAAAGACAACTGATAGGCAACGTCTAAATTGACAGATTCGCATAGCTTGGGCTGTCCTCTTGAGCTAACGGATGGCTAGTAGTTAGATTTTAATTATGGCAAGGTGGAAAATTTCCGTTTTGGTCACCGTAGTAACTATTTTGTGGGATTCATAAGGGATAAGTGGACGTGGAACAGTACTCAAGTGTGATAGTACTTAAGTATTCAATAAATCGGAGCGAGTAAAATATAATATAGGTATGGCTTACAATAATGGATAGGGTTGGAAATGATCTGGGCCGCTAATTGGAAACAATTGGCTAATTGGCCGCTAATTTAAACTTTTAAGTGCTGTTTGGGGTTTGTTCTAAACAAATGGGGAAATCTACATTTGTCTGTCTACTCATCATGTATTTCGCATCACCAATTATATGCCACTATGTACCATAGTCATCTTGATATCATATAGCAATTTCGGGCTATCAATATATATATATATATATATATATATATACACACACATACTTCCCATACCTCTTCTTTCGACTATAGCTAGCTCAATAATTCTTATCCTTGTTTGGCTCAACACGCGCATTTCCTAAATGCGTTTCTTTAACTCTGTTTGCCAACAGCTTTTTATAATCATCTTATATAGCCTCAATCTACTTCGGCTTACATTCTCTACAGTTTTATTTTGGCCGTATTTCACTACCTATATGCCAATATTATCATATGAATGGATATATATTATTAGCATTTCAACTAAAATACATTATTACCACAGACTATGCATATGTAACTACTAGATTAATGTACAGCTCTACATGGTAGGTATTTAGAAATCTATACAGTTTTTCTAGTTCCAATAATGGAATATTTTCTTAGCAATTTTACAACACTTTTTGATGGCCACAACGGAAATTCAAACCGGAAGAGTTATTTTGAACAGTTTTAATACAAGTGCAATCCGTATAATATGAACAATTGAACATATTGTTGTAGGAATTAATTGTGAGCAATTAATAAACATGTTATTTAATAAAAAACTATCATTGTTAATATATTTTAATCTAATTTCAAGGACATTGTCTACTGATAGTATATAAATAAAGATGATATATCATATATGTATCTCTAATCGAATTGTTTAAAAAAAAATTCAGATCACTATAAGATTTGGCTTTATAAATATAATGCTAAATTGTGTTATGACGTAAAAAATATGCATAACAGTATAATATAATACGATATATTATATTATTATTTAATAGTAAATTAAGTTAAAATAATAAAGCACAAGTTAATTACCCATCGTTAGTTTTGGTTTTGTAGAATAGTTTATATTTAAAAAGTACTGAGCAGTATATTATATTATTATGGTGTTATTAAAAATAGTTTGTTAACGACAATAAATTATTGAAAATGTAATTTTTTTTAAAGTTGGTTAGTAAAATCCTTTTGATCAAATTGTATATAACTGTTAAGAATTTATGAACCTTTAAAAAAGTTTGAAATTTTAATCATGCTGTTAAACTTGTTTGTTTATGAAATAATATCCTAATTATTGAACATTACCTACTCTGTTTATTCAATTTTAGTGAAGATTTTTGTTAAGGTAGCTGTGTTATCATTTTTTTTTGTCTACGTTATTTAGCCATAGTTGTATCGTTTTGAAACACTGAATGTTTTTTTTTTTTTTTGTTTACTATTTGTGTAATTATAAGTATTTCCATTACTAGTTAAGACGGTTTCACATCATGATAAAAACTATTATAATTGAAAATATTGCTCTTCTTATCTACATACTTTTTAATGTAATTATTATTTGTTTGTAAAAAAAGAAACAACTTGAATAAAACAATAAACATGAGTATTTCGTTTTTTCTTTAATATTAAATTAATATTTAAAAAAAATCCTAGTCTATAACCAGACTAGACTTATACTTCTTGGGTTATTTGCATTTTGAACATCTTTCCTTTTCGTCTTGCAATACAACTCAAGTATTGGTTTTCTCTAATAAAAAGCCTGATGAATAAAAAGGCGAACAACACCTTTGTAACTTGTTGACAACTTTAAAATAATAAGAGAAAAAACAAGGGTCTTCTCATCCTTATAATCGATTTAAAACAAACACATTTATTTCCACTTAAGGTATTCATATTATACAGTAAAAACCGAAACTCCAAAAACAATAAAAAAAAAATGCCAGACAAAAGACTAGAGGAGGATTTTGATCATTCCACATCAAACACAACATTAAATAAGTGACAAAAAATAGTACGTTTAATCGAGATGTCAACGTTAATTAATAAAATTCTGGGACTATGCCAAATTTAACGCGTCCTATTTATTTTCTGAAATTTATATATCGCACACCTAGATCAAAACTGTAGCAGCCCAAAAACACCTTTTTTCAGAAATTCCAAAAAACTTATTTTCAAGTTTAATTACTTAAAATTGTTAATTTAACTGTTTATTTTAATAAAACAGTTTTTTACAGCCAACGTACGTTCACTCCGCTTGAAGTCAGGCAGAAACTAAGTTTTAAACGGTTTTGGTATTTAGGATTATGGGATTAGTCAATTTTACTAAAAGTACCTACAGCACCATACTTTGAAGAGTAATCAAGATAAATTTAAATTTCTTTTGTCAGTTCATGCACTTCGTTTGTAGAATCCGAATATACAAATAACTATGATAATTTCCACTTTTTGAGTTATTACAGTTTTGATCTAGGTGTGCGATATATTTTTTAGTTACTTTGAGCTTAATTGAAAATTGGCATTATAATTACGAATTTTTGTTAATTTTATTAAAACAGTGTGTACGACTGCACTATTTCAAAAAGAACTCTTTGGTGTACACTTGTTGTTAAAAAGTGTACACTTTTTGTCAAAACGAACAAACCTATTAGGTTTTTTCGCAAAAAGTGTACACCAAAGCGTTCGTTTTGAAACATAGACCTACAGAGAAATCTTTATAGGTCTATGTTTTGAAATAATGTACACTAAACTAATTGGTGTACATTTTTTTTTTAAAAAAACGAGTACACTAAACTAATTGGTGTACACTTTTTTTTTAAAAAAACGAACAAAGCTATTGTGATTTGTGTACTGTCAATGAGTTTACACGGTCGGTCGATTAATGATAAGAACAACGATAACGTTATCAGCAGCTGTGGGCAGATTTGTTTGTTTTTATTTTTACTCTCCATGAGACTGTGGATTGATAACATCAATGGATGCGAACATTTTGCTGCGATAAACGATAATATACATATTATTAACACAAATACCGGTACGGTGTGGCGCAGTGGACACCACAGCTGCCGCAAGGCGCCTGAGGTTAAGCTGCGACTAGTACCGCTTGATCCCGGATGGGTGACCACCTGGGTTTTTAGTGGCAAACCACACCACTAGGCCGACCGGTGAGGACCAAGTTAGCTATAATCCCGGTCAATAAGTCCACTCGAAATTATTATTAACACAAATTATATGAAAACAGATTGTTCACTCGGGCCTTTAACAATAGGATTGCAAATAAGGCTCCTATGATTGGCCCGCCAAAATCAGTGTGACCGTCTGAAGGGAATTTGTTTTTAAACGTGTTCGCGGGCTTTCGCATTTATTAATTAATTGAGTTAAACAGAATGTTTCTCTTGTATTTACCAAACATTTTATAAATATAATTAACCATAATGATAATAATAATAATTTAATAATATTATTCTTACAATTACAGTTGTTTTATATTATCTTACACACTATATAGTATGACGTATCCAAGGGCAATAATTTTAATTTCAATAATAAAATACAATTAATAAATAATAATACATATCCACATACCCGATAACTTTTTGACAAAATCATAGGATCTTTATGGTAGAGGTGTGTCGCTTGACAACTCTCTAACCATTTTTTACACCTTACACAGTAAATTATTGTATACATATATATATAAGTTGAAAATTATAAGATCAATTATAAAATAAAATAGTTATAAATGCTTACCTTTGCGGATCAGTTGGAAATCTTAAATAGCTAATGCTATTTAATGTTTTTGACATTTTAGTTTCGCAAAATTGTACCGAACACGAAGTCATTGTAAAAATTAAAAACTCACAAACAAATAACAATTATTACACAAAAATGACTGGTAGCGTTTAAAATGTATACAGGTGACAAAAATTTAGCTATTTCTGGGAACAAACTTTTATTTTGTTTGTCAAGCTAGATGTAAGCATTCTGTGTTAAATATACCATCCCTACCACAGGTACAGATAAATTATTTTTTTATGTACCCTAGATTCTGCACGTGTGAAGTGTTACAATAGAAGAAGCGCCAGTAACGCAGTTTGGTTATTAGTTTCAAAAGTTGATAGAGCTCCGGAAAATAAAAATAAAAGTTAATAATATAAAATAAAAGTATTTTTCTTTATCTACATATTTAATGCCGTTAAAAAACACAGTTTTTGCAATTAAAAAGTTAACAAAATAATTACTTATTATTAAATAAGACAATAAAAATAATAAATACTCCAAATAAAGAATAATTAACATAAAAATAAAAAATAAAACGTTTATCGTCCATAAGCCGCATAGAAAATATCGGCCTCCGGGCGAATGGTGGCGCCGCCTGTACAGCGAAGCTGAACTACCAAAATGCCTGAAGCATTCGACCCCAGATTTTTACTGATAAGAAGTTGAGTGGTGTCACCTTATCTTCTCTACATCGTGGACGGGGTCAATATTATATAACATATATAACATTTATTTTTTTTAACATTTAATATGGTAAATACACAGATTATATGAAATAATCATATAATTTGTGGTAAATACAAGTTCGATAATTTCGTTCCGGCTGACAGGTCACACTGGTTTCGGCGGAGTGCTTATCAGCTCATTTTTTGTTTACATCGAGAGTGAACAATCTGTTTTCATATAATCTGTGTTATTAATTGTAGTATCATAGTTACAATTATTCAGTTCACAGTTGGGACTTGGGAGTATTGACAAAGTTTTTTGCCAAGTAATTAATAATATCGTTCAATAATTATATAGTAATAATTAATTTGGAACTTTACTTCAATCTTCTTAGGGGTTACAACGATCGTTGTTTCCTGAGTGATCTAAATTCGTTATAAGATTTATTTTTTTTAATCTAGGTAAGTTCAATTGCCCAAACATGTCGTTTGTACAAGTGTCGGACACAAATGATGGCGACAGAGAAATTGTCGACTTGCCTTTGGAGGAAGATGGTACTCTCTTGTTGTCTACTTTGCACGCTCAGTATCCAGATGCGTGTGGTCTCAAGTATGTTGCTCCGGACAATGGCAGGACACGAGCATTGCGTCTAGCTAATGATAAACTACATCCACCCAACGAGGAAGGGTGGGGCGACATTGTTTACTTTTGTTCTTTCAATAAAGGTAAATGTACAATCAGAAAACAAATTATTAAGTAATGTGTACAGTATTCTTTTTGCGATAAGGAAAAATATATTTCGTTGTAAGATTTTTTTTAAGCCAGTTCTCATGACTCATTTACTTATTCTGTATAGACTCTACTATAATATAACTAATAGGGGGAATAAAACACTTATACTACAAGCAGTTGTGCCTTTAAAAAGCCTGGCGGCGGTCACGCTGCAACCTACCTGTTTCCCGCTTACAGTATTGTGTACCAAACATTTTTTTTTTATTTGCCTTTTGTATTGATAATGTTATCTATTGATTAGTCAATAGTCCTGCTAATCTGGTTATAAATACTAGGACCACTAAAAGTTTAATAGGAATTTTTTTATTGTAAAATTATGTAAGGTAGCAGTTAACAGTTACCATTTACGTTATGATTTCAATATTATTATACATAGTAAAATAACGTTAGAGCTATCTGCGAGCTGATATTGTACATAGTTTTACATAATGTAAAAACCCTCTATCCTTAAATTGTGCAGGACTGTGTTATAGTGTTATACTAACAATGCAGAGTAGGATCCAAAATCAAAGAGATAACTACTTCATAACGATGATTGATAATGATATAGTAGTATGAGTAGATTAATTTTATTTGGCTGGCAATAGCTTGAAGTAGGAAAGTTATTTTTTACATTGCATTATTATGTACTATTAGTGACTCATTTAGACAACGAATAACCCCAAAAGTGTATGATTTATATAGCTTCAAGTTAATAATTAACAATGTGATAAATTTCATAAAAATCTGTCCAACCGTTTAGGAGGAGTTTGCTTACTTACACACGGACAGAAGAAATATATATATATATGTATGTATACGTTTATGTATGTAATGTAATTTGGCCCGACAAGTATGTAATTATTTGTTGTGTTTATGAAACTAAGGTGCTATATTTAATTACCATATTTTATACATTGAGGAATCATAAGTGATTAAGATAAATTATGTAAAAAAAAAAAATGATATGTGTGTTCAGATAACGGACAGAAGAGAAAATTGAACGAAGAAATTGAAAGTGATGTTGAGCGAGCACCCAAAGAACAGAAGTCTGAGGCGACATCAACAGCTTGGAAGAATCGTGATTTACTTGTACTCGGTTTACCATGGAAAACGACTGATGAGGACTTAGAAAGTTACTTTAGTAAATACGGTGAACTGCGCATGGCACAAGTTAGTTTTTAACGAAAAAATAAAGAAAAAGTGTATTTAGGGAATGTAAGAATGCGACAAAGTATTTGTTGGTTTGCTAAAAAATATAATGTTTGAAGCTTTTATTTATGGTTTATAATAAAAGCATTGATTATAAATAATATAGGTGTCCACTGTCGTGTATTTTTTGGTGCGCGTAAATTGTTGCAGTTGTAGAGCGCTATATACTGTTTTTAGTACTACGTCGTTCCTGGCTGTATTGCGCGGTATCTACCGCCATAACTAAAAACAGTATAAAGCGCTCTACAACGGCAACAATTTACGCGCAGAAAAAAATACATGCTTGTAGGCTATCTATATTATTTATAATCAATAATAATAGTTATGGTAAAGTATAATGTTCCAAATATTAATGTTTTAAACAATAGGTTAAAAAATCTGCTGATGGCCGATCAAGAGGATTTGGGTTTATACGTTTCAAGGAACAAGAGTCACAAGTGCGATCAATGTTAGATTCACATGTCATTAATGGAAGACGATGTGAAATAAAAATTCCTAATATAAAGGTAATATTGTGTAAATGAATATGATATAATAATGTATATCAATATTATTGTGAGTTTGAATTAAACTTAAAAATATGCTGTTTCAACATATCAAGCTTTTTGATGAAGTATGTCATACATGACATTTACAACTAATGCTATCATACCTAATATAATATTTTTAACAATTCCATTAGTTTATATCTATAGTAACAAAGACAAAACAGTTAATATTTAAAGAATTTATTGGTCTATTGTTTGAGAAGGGGACTATAGTTATGTGGGTAAAGTGTTGGTGTATTTTGCGCTCATTGTTACTGGTTTGACATTCGGTTATGGATGAGATGTCGTCTGGTATAAAGGAGCCGCCAAGCCTCTCCCGGAAGCTGACTGACAACCCGTCTTGAATAGCGAATTCATCTAGAAACCATCTCATGAAGTCAGCGTTTAGCCTTCAAGGCCACGTTGAGCTAACATCAAACATGACGATGATTGATCCATTATATAATTAAAATTTCATTTTCTTAACTTAAATTTGACTTGAATTTGTTGTTATTTACTATAAGTCAATGATAAGTGATACCATTTAACATAAATATGCAAGTTAATGTTTTCTTTTTTTCTAATTTTAGGATGCATTTATAAATGAAGCTCCTAAGAAAATATTTGTTGGACAACTTACTGAAAGTATTACACAAGAAGATCTCGAAGAATACTTTAAGCAATTTGGAGATATAGTGGAAGTTTTTGTACCACGTCCTTTCAAAGGTATTGCTTTTGTGTCATTCACCAAATCTGACTCTGCCCTAACAGCCCTCGATCAAGATCACACTATTAAAGATGTTCGTCTAAGTGTTTCGGTTGCCATGCCTAAAGAAAAAGACCAAAGGTTCCGCAGAGGTCGTGGCAGTGGCGGCAGTAGTAATTACAATAGCCGGATGAGGGGAAGTCGTGATCATTATAGTAGCCGAGGCAATTATTATGATGACGGTGGATGGGATGATTATGACCGTGGCAGCTATTCTGATCGCTACAGGGATGATAATGACCGTGGTAGCTATTCTGATCGCTACAGGGATGATCGTTATGACAGGAAGCCGTACAGTAACGATCGGTCTTACGGAGTTTGGCGCAAAAATGATTACGTCGATTCATCTTCTTCGTCTCAAAATAAAGGTGGCAGCAGCAAAATCGATCCAAATTTAGTTGCTGCAGTTGTAGAAAAAACAGTCAGAGGAGTAATTGGAAATATGAATAACGTAATGTGACTATAATATTGTTTATTTTTTATCGTATTTGTATTTTTGGATGTAAGTATATTGTGACACTATGTTTTCTACAATTGACAATCTGTACTTAAAAGATATTCAGAAAATTTAAAACAAACTGTGCATAATATGTATTTAACTAGCTATAAATGAAAATGTTAATCCTTAATGACCAAATGGATAATGATGACACTTGTATTATATGATTCGAGGAAAAAAGTGATGATCTTAACAAAAATAATAATTACATGAGATATGCTATATTTCTTGTTACAATATATTGAAGTTATTTACCTATTTTTTATTACTCTAAGATAGTGTTACAATATATTTCTTCCATTTTTTTATAATGTATGCATTTTATTAATTTATATATATATATAATATCAGTTTTTATAGGTTCAATGTTTTTTTTTAAATTTATTAGGTAATAATTAGAAAATGAATGAATCTAAAAAGTTATTAATATCAATATGTATTTTTATTTGGTTATGACCAACTATGTTAAATTAATAATACAAATTTTACGTAACTAAAATAATTTATTCCAATTTGTCGTAATGTATACGTTAAAAATTTTTTAGTCTTATTAATTAAGAATACACATTTTGTTTTTTATATTTGACCTGAATATGGATTTTAATTAGTTGAACAATAAATGTATTATAATTAGATAATTTTTTATTAGAAAATGTGTATTGATCTTTACTTGAATGTGAATAAGGGTAAAAGGCATAGCTATGCAATTAATCTTTATTTGGGAATTTGGTCGTGTTTAATTAGCTTAGTAAACCGAATTGAGTTTATTAGATGCATGTAACAAAATTACTCAGTTCATTATTGACGACAATCGTCATGAACAGTAGACATCAAAAAGGTTAGGTTCTACTATTTTGTAGTTTTTTAATTATCTAGTAAGGTGTTACTATAGTTAATAATAATTATACATCTATTATGATAGTCTAAAAAATAAATCAACTACCAAAAATGTGTTCTATTTACTGATCTTATTAAAGTTTAACGTTTAAATTAAGATTTTACAAAAAATTGCATATACTGCTTATAATTGCATATATTTTAATAAATAGAGGTATAACGTCCTCTTAATAAATTAGTTATAAATGTATTATAATTAATTTATTATTTAAATAATAATAAAAATTAATAGTATTTTTTAGGGCAGCATACAAGGTATTATTATATTCTGTAAACCTTGATCTGTTACACTTAAAAACTTCTCCCGAAAAACGTCTCTCAGTCACACAACCTTGACAATATTTTTGTATACAATACACAATTATTAATGGTGTTTGTTGTGCGGCCAGCATTACTTATTATTAAGGAGTAATGATCTATTTTATAATATTACATTTTTTTATGTACTTAAATTTTAAAAACAAAATTGACAGAAATATTTGTAATTGATAAATCTACAAACTAAAAAATAATGAATACTATAATAATAATAGTATAATAATAGCATACAAATTCTTCTTATAAAGTACATTAGGTACAATGTATACTAAATGTTTAGCTGATGCAAAACTGAGATGATATTGGTTTTACAATGATGTGTTTTGTTTGGTCAGTTGTCTCAGTTTTCCAATCAGACCCATATATTATGAAAAAAAACAATATTAATCCGAATCTTATAAGTTATAATAATATTAATAATGAAGTCATTTCTCAATAACTACGAAAATATATTTTAGAAAATTATAAACAAACAAAATTAACAATTTATGACTTTCACATCTGAGACCATTATTTTAATGACAAATAAAAGTAAAGTTATAAAATAAGCTCCATGGAGCACTCAAATGCTAGCTTATGGAATAAAAATTAATATTAGCTCTAGTTATATAGAAATAAATAAATCAATTTTCAAATTATGAAATCACATGTATTACTAAAAACATTTTATTACATTACGTAGGTATTCACAATTAACATTTAGACAATATTGGTCTAAAAAACTGTTTTATCAAACTATTTAAGTATAATTGAAAACATTGTTGAATTGCTATAAATGTAATTACTATAAATACATTTAAATTACACTTAAAATTATTATTGTATATTAAAAAAAATAAGAAATGAAACAAAAAATTAGTCTATAAGACATGATAGTAAGTATAATATAAAAAGGCAGAATTATGTTGTATTAAATTTTTAACTCAAAGTTAAAAAAATTGAAACATTTCTTGGTAAAATTTGATTTTTTGCATAATATTTTAGGAGTAAAAAGTGAAAATTGTGCCTTACGAATAAAATTATATTATAATTTTATTTAGGTTTTGAAAAAAAAATTTCATTACTTAATAAAAAAAAATAGAAATAAGTCTCGGCCCAGTCCCGTTATTAGACGAAAAGATTTGATTCTCTGATTTTTTGATAAAAATTTCAGAATTGTAAAACTATAGAAGTAAATATGGGTGATAAAAATTTCAAAAAAATTAAGGTCCTTTATTAGTTAGTGTACATATAATATAAAATTAAAACTTTCAGTTACGCTTTTTGTTGATGTTGATGTAATTAAAAAGAATTCTAGTAACCTATTAGTTATTACCATTGATTTATAATAAAATATTAAATCTACCTATATATAAAACCAATTCTATTACACATGAGGCCGTATTCGGATACTTGCCATTAATAATAAAAAAACACAATAAGTCTAACATATGCACATCACATCATTTATATAGTAAGATTACTTAGATTAACTATAGTTAGTTTTCAAAATAGATATTTAAAACATTATTTCTGGCTAAAACATACTATAGCATGCTTGTACTTAGGCCTAGTATGAGTGCAAAAGTGGCCTAACCTATAAATTAAAATGAACTCGATAATTTAAAAATAACTTAAATACAATAAATAATTTGTCATATACATATATTTATTTAAACTAAAAAATTTTATAAATAAATAAAATACCAATTTTATAAATTATTTGAAGTTGGTTAATTTTATTAACTAATTAATTTTAAATTATGGGTTAGGCCACTTTTGCACTCAAAGCCTCGTATAATACCTATCTATTGGAGATAGGTAGATAAAGAGTATACATTTTCTTTGGTGAACTTTTTTGTATCTATATTAATCGAATGATGAAGATTTCACCATTGGTTTTAAAGTTCGGAGCATTTATTGTAGACTTTATTGAAAACGTGTTATTGGCAAATTATTATTTAATTTTAATTAACATTAATTCTTATATAGATACAATAAATGTAGGTAATATTGAATTTTTAAAATAACGTTTCGAGTAAATGTCAATCAAATATTACAATATAAGTAACAGTAAACAGTGTATAATTGCTGATGAGATTTTTAGAAGAAAATCATAACAAAAATTCGTTCGAAGAAATATTTAATTTCATCGAGAAAAACATTAGCGTTATCAGCTGTGTGATTTGTTTTTACTCTCCATGAGGCTGTGGACCACAAAAATCAATAGGTGCGAAAATCTTGCTGGAAATTCGCCACACGCGGTAGCAGGGCTAAACGAATTGACCATTCAGGAAGCATCGTTTCACACGATCAATACCACACAAATACACAGCAGTAGAATAGCGCCTGTCGTCTTTAGTAATTCTCTTATATCATAATCGTAGTTATTCAATTAGGAGTAGGTATTGACAAAGTTTTTTTGTTGAGCAATTCATTTTGGAACTTTACTTCAATCTTCTCAGTGTATACAACGATCGTCGTGCCTTAACACTTTTCTTTTTTAGTCTAGGCAAGTTCAATTGCCCAAACATGTCGTTTGTACAAGTGTCGGACACAAATGACGGCGACAGAGAAATTGTCGACTTGCCTTTGGAGGAAGATGGTACTCTCTTGTTGTCTACTTTGCAAGCTCAGTATCCAGATGCGTGTGGTCTCAAGTATGTTGCTCCGGACAATGGCAGGACACGAGCATTGCGTCTAGCTAATGATAAACTACATCCACCCAACGAGGAAGGGTGGGGCGACATTGTTTACTTTTGTTCTTTCAATAAAGGTAAATGTACAGTCAGAAAACAAATTATTAAGTAATGTGTACAGTATTCTTTTTGCGACTCATTTTTATGACTCATTTACTTATTCTGTATAGACTCTACTATAATATAACTAATAGGGGGAATAAAACACTTATACTACGAGCAGTTGTGCCTTTAAAAAGCCTGGCGGCGGTCACGCTGCGACCTACCTGTTTTCCGTTTTCAGTCTTGTGTACCAAACATTTTTTTTTATTCACCATTTGTTCTGATAATTATTATCTATCGACTAGAGAATAGTCGTGCTAAGCTAGTATAGCATAGTTCAATAAGCATGTGTTTTTAGTAAAAGTCGCCAGACGGTGTAAACACTAGGACCACTTGGAGTGTAAAATGATTTTTTTATAGTAAAATAATGTTAGAGCTTTCTGCGAACAAATACTGTACATAGTTTTACATTATGTGTTATAATTTTATTATTATCTATAGATATATTTATTTATTTGGTTATTGTTAGTTTATATTTAGAACCCTGCAATTTCTTTGTGGAACTCTCAATATGTAACTTGTTATGTCAAGGATAAATTTGTAGTTTAATTCGACGTTTAATCAAGTTAACAATTTAATATTTTAACAATCTCATTTTGTTGCTTGGCTAAAAATTGAATAATGTAAACACAATAAAAATTGACTAACTACTGTCATAACATCACAAAACGAATTAAACAGTTTTACTAGTCACTTAAATCATTTAATAATTATTATTACCTACCGGTTTGGTTCTTATTTTTTTCCCATAATCAAATTTTAGTTAGTACCTATATACTTATTTAATTTACTAATTGGTCTACTTTAAAAAAAATAGAGTGCTGTAAGTTTGAGTTGAAAAAAAATGTACATTTTCCTGGCGTTTTTCTCGATTTTGAACTTTTTTAATTTTTAGTCTAATAAAGTAGCACACCGGTACGATCTCTGATCTAAAGAGCTGCTACACAAAGAAATCGGTTCAGTGGACAAAAATATAAAAATAAATTTAAAAAAAAAACTCTTAATTGTATATACAATACCTTCTCAGCTATCGAAGCTAAAAATTAAATTATGATAAAGAACTGGATACACTTGTTATTCGTCTACATTTCTAGTAAATGCGATCAAAAGTAAAGAGATAATTAGTTCATAAACATGATTGATAATAATACAGTGGTATGAGTAGATTCATTTCATTTGGCTGGCATTAGCTTGAAGTAGGAAAGTTGCTTTTTACGTTGCATTATTGTTTATTACTTTATCCACTATTAGTGACTCATTTAGATAAATAATGACCCCAAAAATGTATAGTTTATTTAGCTACTTTTTTTTTATATATGTGTGTGTGTGTTCGTGTGTTCGTGTGCGTGTTTGTGTAAATGATGATGTAAAAAAAAATGATATGTGTGTTCAGATAATGGACAGAAGAGAAAATTGGACGAAGAAATTGAAAGTGATGTGGAGCGAGCACCCAAAGAACAGAAGTCTGAGGCGAAATCAAAAGCTTGGAAGAATCGTGATTTACTTGTACTCGGTTTAGCATGGCAAACGACTGATGAGGACTTAGAAAGTTACTTTAGTACATACGGCGAAATGCGTTTGGCACAAGTTAGTTTTTAACAAAAAAAATAAATAAATAAAGAAAAAGTGTGCTTAGGTAATGCGTAAGAATGCGACAACGTATTTGTTGGTTTGCTTAAAAATATATTGTTTGAAGCTTTTATTTTTAGGTTTTTTTAATACAAGTTATGTAAATCATAATGCTCCTAAAGTTAATATGTTAAACAATAGGTTAAAAAAACTGCTGATGGCCGATCAAGGGGATTTGGGTTTATACGTTTCAAGGAACGAGAGTCCCAAGTGCGGGCTATGTTGGATTCACATGTCATTAATGGAAGACGATGTGAATTAAAATTTCCTAATATGAAGGTAATATTGTGTTATTGAATATTATATAATGTATATATTAATATCATTGTAAGTTTGAACTAAACTCGTAAATACATACATATTAAATACAGTTATATGTAGTTGTTGTGCGTATTTAAAGAATTTATTGATCTATTGTTTGCAAAGGACAAGTGGCTGAGTAGGTAAGATGATGGTGTATTTTGCGCTTACTGTCTTGAATAGCGAATTCACATAGAAATCATATTATGATGGCAGCGTTTAGCTAACATGACGATGATTGACCCGTTGTATAATTGAAAATTAATTTTCTTAACTTAAATATTACTTGAATTTGTTGTTATTTACTATAATTCAATGATAAGTCATACCTACCATATAAATATATCTGTTAGTTAACGTTTTTTTTTTTCATACTTTTTAGGATCCAATTGTAAATGAAGAAAAGAGAATATTTATAGAAAAACTTACTGAAAGTATTACACAAGAAGACCTCGAAGAATACTTTAAGCAATTTGGAGATATAGTGGAAGTTTGTATACCGCGTCCTTTCAAAAATATTGGATATGTGTCATTCGCCAAATCTGACGATGCTCTCACAACTCTCGATCAAGTTCACATTATTAAAGATGTTCGACTTGGTGTTTCGATTGCCTTGCCTAGAGGTAGTGCCCGAAGGTTTTGTGGCAGTGGCGGCAGTAATAATTACAATAGCCGGATGAGGGAATGTCGTGATCATTATAGTAGCCGAGTCTGTTATTATAATGGATTGGATGATTATGACCGCGGTATCTATTTTAATCGCTACAGGGATAATCCTTTTGACCGCATAGTCGATCCAAATTTAGTTGCTGCGGTTGTAGAAAGAACAGTCAGAGGAGTAATTGGAAATATATTATAATAATAACGTAATGTGACTATAATATTGATTATTTTTTATCGTTTTGGATGTGCCACTATGTTTTTTTTTGTAATTGCCATTCTGTACTTAAAAGATTTTCGGAAATTATAAAACAAATTTTACATAATATTTAACTAGCAGTAAAAGATAGTTGTATTGTATTTTTAAATTAAACTTGAGCTTAATTTTATATAATTAATGAATCTAAAAAGTTATTAATATCAATTAGAATTTTTATTAGGTGAACTATGTAAAAATAATAAAAAAAAATTCACATAACTAAATTAATGTATGCCGATATTTAGTAATGTATAGATAAAAACTTTTTTAGTCTTAGTATTAGTTAAGAATACACAAGTAGTAATTGTTAAAATTAATGTATCAAACATGTATCTTCAACTACATGTTTTTTTTTTATATTCGACCTAAATGTGGATCTTAATTAGTTTAGTAATACATGTATTATAATTAGATACATTTTTATTAGAAAATGTGTATTGGTTTTTATCTGAATGTTAATAAGAATAAAAGGCATGGCTATGTAATTAATCTATATTTATTGGATTTCAGTCATGGTTAGTTTAGCTAACTGAATTAAGTTTATTAAAAATATATGCATGTAACAAAATTACTTAGTTCATTATTGATGAAAATCGATATGAACAGTAGACATCAATCAGGTCATCTACTATTTTGTAGTTTTTTAGTTATCTAGTTAGGTGTTACTATTAATTAAAATAATTATACATACAGACCGTGAAATAATTTAACTACCAAAAATGAGTTCTACTAACTGAACTTATCACGGTTAAACGTTTAAATCAAAATTTTACAAAAATTGCCTATACCTGACTTAACTGACTGAATTGCCTATACCTGTAATAATAGGGGTATAACGGCCTCTTAATAAATTATTCATAGTTCTATATTAATTTATTTATTATTTAATTAACAATAATAGTTAATAGTAATTCTTAGGGCAGCATACAAGGTATTATTATGTTCTGTAAGCCTTGGGCAGTTACACCTCAAACGCAACATTGACAATATTTGTATACAATACACAATTATTAACAGTGTTTGTTGTGTGACCAGTATCAAATAATATTAAGGGGTTATGATCTATCTCATATGACTGATAGTAATTTGTCAACATTTAAAAAAAAAAGAAAAAAGTTTTTTAAAATTTACATACACAGATTTTTTTTAATAAAATTAAACAATTCATTTTTTTTAAGTGTTTTATGAACATATTACTTGATACCAATATAATTTATTTAAAAAAGTATTCCATACCCAATAAGTATTTTTAAATAGATCTATTCAAATAGTTAAGAGCTTTGTGAGTAGGTATAATAATTATCGGAATCAATAAATAAGAACCGAAATTAGTCATACTAAATGTGGCTTTTTATAAATGTGTTTTGTTCACAAATTTTGGAAGTAATAGACTGACGGTAGTCCTAATTAATAATAAGAATACTAAGTTATTAATGTTCCTCAAATGGAATTATCTGAAAATTTAATGTGGGTTTTAATGCTGAAACATCTCTAATCAAACTGTAATCTAAATCCTACCTGGAATATATATAACGGATTCGGTCATGATGCACACAAATAAATAAAACAATTATTTCAGGTTCCCTTCTCAAAAATGTAATGAACATAAAAGATCTATCATTAAGACGTAGATATTGTACACAAATTGTGTTATAATAAAACTAACAAAACATAATTAATTAAATATCTAGGTATTATATCATGTATCATACAATGCAATGTATGATATAATATAATACAATGCAAAACCATGTGCATCTTCCCTTGAACGAATTTTTGTTATGATTTTCTTCCAAAAGTCTCATCAACTATTACAGTTTGCTATTACTTATATTTTAATGTTTGATTGACATTTACTTGTATTTAAAACTTCTATTTGATTCTTAATAAAGTATTTTTATAAAAAGTTTTTTTTATTATTTTTTCAGGAATGTAACAGCTATTTAATAAAACATGTATTTAATTTAAAATGTTTTATAACATCTAAAAATATATATATAAATATTTGGTTGGGATGTATAAAACTATTTAAAAAATGGTTTTAAATATTAAATTAAGTATAAATGTATTAATCAGAAAATTAGTTGAACAAAATATTATTTTGCATATTAGAGTATATATTACCGGTTTTAATGGAATATTAAGAAAATATTTTAAGATTTTATTAGTGCATTTTAGCGTTATAATTTTAACATTTTAAAACGTAAAAATTCGGTCTCTACACCTAACACTCTAGGCAAATAACTGTGATTTTATATAATTTTGCAATCAACACCAAACAAATACCTATGTAGTAGGATCAACTATAGTTATTGTTAATATAGGGATACCCAATAAATTAATAAAATTGCTTTAACTGAACATTAAGTTGACCTAACTATTTATTTAGCAATTATAACGATACTTTTATTGTATCTATAAAGGTATTATTAATAATTATAGTTAAATAATAATTTGTTAGTGATACATTTTAAATAAAAGATAAAAAATAGGCTATAAGCGTTAACATAAATAAAAGTTCATAACTACCTATCGGAGTTCATCTACAATAAATGCTTCGAAACAAAAAACCAATAATTATAAAATCTTAAATCATTCCATTAATATATAGGTACAAAAAAGTTCCCGAATTAAAATATAGTTGGATTTATAGTCATTATCTACCATTCTCCACGAGATAGGTATTATACTTGCAGGCAATAAATACATTTTTTCTTTCAAATTATTTACTCATTTTTAAAGTTGTTCGTTATGAATTATGATATGTATTTCAATATGTTAAAATTACAAACTGACCAGTAACTATTGCACATTTCAGTCAAAATTTGAATGGCTGTTTGCCACCCTTAGCTGCTTCATTTGATTCACAGATTGCTAACCAGTCAGGTCTTTAATTAAACAGTAAAACTTTAATTTCGTTGATTTTATTTATTATGTGTTAAAATCGCTAATGCGATTATGTGAGATTTGCCCTTATAACTAAGTATGTTATAAGTTAGTATAAGAACTAACGATATTCACTTACTACTACTACTCACTTATATAAAAAAAAACTTGTGCTGGTTTATACTATGATTGGTTTGGACTGTACTGGTTTGAACCCACTGTCCACAGATCCATCGAAGCATTTATTTAAAACAAACTATGTACCTTTGTGAACTCCCGTCCCCACTACGCTCCGACCCCACTGTACTGGCTTTTTTATTAAACTTTTTCAGCTTGGAAGTCGACAGTTGTTTTGTCTTATTGAATAATACGTATTTTTGTATTTGATCCCGTGAGAACTATTCAGTTGCCGTACCGATTAATTTAATATTATGTTATTTCAATACAGTTGCATGTAACGCATGTTTCAATGTTGTGGAATACTGAAAATCTTTTGGGATCCAAACAATTTAGGCTTTTCATTTTACATGTGTACTCTTTACTATTTCAAATAGTATAATATGGAATTTTTCGTTATTATCATTTCTTTTTTTGTAGCAGCTATCATTTTCCATGCTTGTACCCAATTATTGTATACGTTTGTAAATAAATAGATACTGGAGTTGTGACTAAATAGTCAATAGATATCGATTAGTAAATTACTATTTTTTGCATGTTATTGCTTAAAACACAGCGCCAGACCGACACTGTATTTCATTAAGTTTATTTTGGTTAACGTTTCTTCTAATTGAGGTGGACAATCCCAAGATACAATATTATATAATGCCGGAATATTACAACATTGCATTGACAAACGTCAAATATATTAATTAATATTTAAAAATCAATGTGGTCAAACCTAACCTAACCATTTACTCTTTAATAATATGTGGTGTTGGCCGCACAACAAACACCATTGGTAATCGTTCATTTGTGTATTTGACACAATGCAGTCAATTAAGAGGCGTTTTTTTTTTGTTCGGCGGGGTTTTATCCTGTGCTACCCGTGCCGAACGCTTCCAAACTCTAAGTAATTAGTCTATAGTAAAATAATTTTTAAAAAAACGTAGTTGGCGCCATCTGGTGAACTCGAAATGAAAATCATCCGGACACGAAGGTGCCGAGACTTTTTAATGGGTTTTTTTTTTTTTAATGCTACCTGTCGCGTTGTCTGCAGCAGCTACCGCCGGGCACCGCCACCGAATATTATTATGATCTCATCGCTGTTTACACGTCGTCTCAGGTCGTTGGACCTCTCGCATAATAACACATTGTTATCAATGCCGGTGCACGCGTGACGCGACCGACTTTGTTTTGTTATTGATTGGCGGAATCCCGTGCCGTGGAATCCGCTATGTGGCGGCAAAGAGTGCCCACTACAACAATGTGTTTGAGCTAATCGCTATTCGAGCTCTGTAATAGTAATTGATCTGCGCACTGCTCCGTTTCAGGTATGCAATCGTTTACAAGTAAATAATATTAGGTGTACAACGCCTTGCCTCGTTCTGTGCAAAAAAAAAAAATGGCAAGTCTCTCCGGCCAATTCACCTTGCGTTGTGGCCACGGTTCAAGCAAGGCCCAGGCGCCTTCTGTTTATGCAATCGGTAATTAAACGTTGTTAGTATTTTCAGTTGTTCCCGCAGCACGATTCCGGTTGAAATGCACGGTTGTCTCTGCTGACCAATCGCTGCAGTCTAATCAATCGCTTTGGGGATCGAGCTATTTACCGTCGCTCGCGGACGTACACCCAACATAATGTCGTACAGACCCAGGTAACTATGGTCTATGGTGATAATGATTATAGTGGAACCGACGATAAACTCTAAAAGCCAGTACGTGTCTAAAAGGCCCGATCTCATACTAGGCTCGGCATTTTATACCTACAGATTATCTATATTTCACAAGAAACTTGTAGATCGTATTTCATGTTCGAGTCTTAACTTTTAAAAATAAAATTACTTAATGAGCGCTGCACGCTGTTTTGACTTGGACTTACGACGAAACCAATCTATGTATGTTATATATGTACACATTAGCCGGTGTCTCCCTCCTCCCTCAAACCCCCCTCCTTCCCAACCGATAGTAACCTATTCAAGAAGAAATCATAAAAATTTCAAATTCTCAACTTAACTCTTAAGCACCTACGTCCTCGTGAATTTTTTTTGCATTTAATTAAAATGAGAAATTTAAAGAAGTTCTAACTTATATACTAATCAAAATTTTTTAAAAATATATTTAAAGCTGAAATATGACACTTCCAAATCACTTGATATTGCACTGTCTAAATTGTTTGTATCAAGTTACAGCCCATTAAAACTAATAAAACTGATAATTTGATAACTTGCTACAAAAAAAATGTCCACACAAATTATAAAATGAACATTTTTTAATCGTCCTGTCATTATATTTTAGCTTTAAGAATCTTTTTTCAAAAAAAAAAATGTTGATAAGTTTTCAAGTTTTTTTTTTAAACGAAAAATTAAAATTCCCATGTTAATCAAAAGCAAATCCAAATGTCATGAAGAAGTACTTACAATTAGTGTCAAACTATGGATCTGACATTTTAGGGATTTATTATTTGAACAGGCTTCTATCAATCAAAATGATTAGTCGTAGGAAAAACATTTTTTTTTTTTAAACAGCAATATATAATGTTATAAATATTAGGGTGGCTCTTATTTTGCTAATTTTGTATAATTGTAAACCAATACCTACTAGGAAACACCAACTATCAATTATTATTAAGTAAATAAGTATAATATAACATAAATTGTATTAGTGAGTCTCAAATTACCGGTATTAATTAATTTTTATCTTGGTGTGAGTATGTTATTTTTATAAGTATTATAATATAAACAAATAAATTTAGATATCATTTTTAAAAGATTGTTCAAATAGGTATTGAAATTAAATAGAATTAAACAACTAAGAAACGTCAAAAAAAAATTGTATACTATTTTATGAAATATTTGAACTTAAAATATTTTAACGCTGTGTGACATTAACTTAAAGTTATCTAAATAATTGTAAATCTATAAAAGACAATTTTTTTACCCACTTCATAAAATAGAACCATGTTCTGAAAGAAGTACCGAAATTCGCAAAATAAGATCCAACATGCCATCGACCAGCACGGCAGTCTCTGTGGGAATGCTTTGACTAGGTGTAGGAGAAACATTTAAGGCCCTCTCTCAAGCAAGCCCTGCTTACACATATTAATACAATTTTTTTTAAATTAGCCGAGGAGGATATGATAATTCCCGTGGTGGATTCCGTGGGAGTTCATACAGTTCGAGAGGAGGTTTCAATGACAATTACAGAGGTTCTAGCCGAGGAGGTAGCACATATCGTGGATCACGAGGCAGCAGTAGAGGCAACAGTGGCCCCTGGTCTGGTTCTTCTAATTATAACAGTATGAATCGCAACTCTGAATCCAATTGGTCGCCTCCACCTGATAACAATTTTGAGTCTCGAAACCGATATTCAGGTAAGGTTTAGATTTAAATGATATGTCTTATTTCGGTTTAACTTATTTTTACGTGTTTTTATTGAAATGCTCATGCAAACATTTTTATTTAAATATTACTGTTTTTTCATGTGAATAATATTAATGCAGTCTTATTTTGATTTGATAAGCTTTCTTTTTAAGGGATAGATAAAATTACAAATATTTTACTCATAAACTAAAATTTATATTTAAAATACAATTATGATTTAAGTATAATATTGTTGTTTGAAACTCAAAAATATATTTGACTGACAAAATCCGATTGTACAACCAAGTTCAGAATTGCAAAATAAATATTTTATTGATAATAATTTATGTATTATAATTTGGCTTATTAAATGGAAGAAAAATATTAAATGATTTATTTATAATATAATTTCAGGTGATAATGGTCGTTATTCAAGTAGTCACAACGATTCTAGACGATTTAAAGAGGTATGTAAGATACATATTGTTTTTTTCCTTAGAATTTCTTTATCTTTTTCTGTTGACTGTTGTTAAGAATTATTTATAAAGCTACAAGATACTTTTCAGTGTTCACTACACAATAATGTTAACAAGTATTTCTTTTCCAAATGCAAAACATTTACTTATACTACACTTTGACTTTTTTTCTTTAAATATTTGAAAACAATTGATGGTAAAACCTATTTTTACACAAAGGACATTTTATTGAAGATAATACAATTTATCATACTTTTCTAGTATAATGAATAATCATTCATCAATGTAACATCATTGTGATTTTTTCCACTTAACCTTTATTAATTAATTTATGTTTATTATTAACAAATAAAATGTATTAAATATATATTTAGTATTTGTTTTGTGGTGATATAGTCATATACTTCGCTTGTTTTATAATCATAATTGAACAAATAACTTATAAATTGATTTATATGTTTGTGCTATCATCCAAGAGCTTGTAGACTAACAAATATTTTTTTATCAAATGATCAATCTAATGATTTGTAATTTTTGTTATGTAAATTTTAATTAAGCTAGGGTTTCAGTAAAAAAATATTAATTGTTGAAATGCATATAGGGTAGAAGAAGTGAAAGAGACTCCGACGTAGACGGTTATTTGAATACTGATGAAGATTACGAACATTATGGTCCTGGTAGTAGCAATTATGCAGATAATCGCAATAGTAGGTCATCGTATGGACCTGATACCGGCAGCTATAGAGAAAGTCGCGGCAGTTACAGAGGTCGTGGAAGCTCTCGTGATTACCATTCAGATTACCGTAAACCGCATCATTCGGAAGACAACCACGGCTCATCACCGCAAAGATATTCTGGACCATCTTTTAGAGGCCGAGGGGATGGCTTTAGAGGTGGATTCCGTGAGATGGACAGTCGAACATCAAGAGGAGGTGGATATAGAGGTAGCAGTTCGTATGGTAACAGTGAAGGAATGTTGAAACGGAAACGCCATGAGTCCCCGACTGGTGGATGGAGACCAAGTCCCTTCCGTAAAGGATACGATTCTTACAGAGGAAGAATGCCAAGGTAAAAATAAACTTAAACTATTAGGTTTACCTGGAATTTCGTACAGAAACAATAAACAATATAAGAATAAACCTTAAATTAAATGAAAATACAAAAAATTATAATATGATACAAGTGTTAAAATTTATGTATAGGCTTTAAAGTAGGCTCTGTAACCTGTGTACCATAGTGTGGAACTGACATAGTAACAGCTGTTAAAGGTACTGCATAATACCTTAATATCATTTATATTTATGTAATGTTTTTATAGCTTTTATGAAATGTTATTACATTTCTTGCTAAACTACTAATTAAAAAATAAAACATTAATGTACACGCTGCTTGAAACTTTTCACAACAACCAGAACGCTTTTAAATAAATTAAAAAATTTTTATTCAAGTATCAAATTTTACTCTAAATACAGGGTGGCCCACAAAGATTTGACAAATGAAATAACTTTTGTTCTAGTGAATATTTTTGAGATTTTTTTTAAAAATAATTTATACTCATTTGCTCTATAAGCACCGTGGCTTTTATTGCACTTACCTATTTTACTTTTTTTTAATAGTTTTTAATTTTTTTTATTACATATTTTTTTTTTTCCAAGGTAGCCATTTTATTCAAAATAATTTTTTAAAAAAAATTGGTGAAAAAAATTTGTACTTTTATTCATCCGTTCAAAAGTTATATTCATTTGAAAGTGAGGATGACTGGAGACGGGAGGTGGAGTGCGGTAGGTAACGGAAAGTTATTTAATTTGTCTAATATTTGTGGGCCACCCTGTATATATATATATTTAATACACATATGTAGGCCTTAAAATGAAAAGTTAACAAAAATGTTTTATCACTTTATAAAAAAGCGATGGTTTGACGTTTTTAAAGAGTTTTTTTGTTGTTACTTTGGGAAATTGGTACTGATTTTAGTAGATTTAAAAATTGAAAAATACAAATTGTAATACTATTAAAACTAGGAAGTTATTTAGACTGAAAGTCCTAAATCTTATTTTGGAATAAACTGTCATTAGTAAATACTTTATTTAATGATAAACTTGCTTTATAAATTCATGTAAAATCGTAAATTGTGACAATTTATTGTCGTTATCTAAACTTATTATTTACAGTTAGTAATAAGTAAATTTTTCTTGTTGGTTTTTTGGGTTAACGATTTCGTTTTTGTTGTAGTTTTAATATATAGTTGATTTAATTTTATGGACTATAGTTAGAATGCTTTCAATTCAATGTCACTAATTCTATTACGAAAATAGTATTTATGCACTTTGCAAAAACTTAAACACAAATATCAATATAAATTTTTTTTTTATTTTAGAACTTATTAAATAATCTTTTAAAAAATCACTCTATACTATATGCTGTAGAATTTGTTTTTGTGTTTTACTGATGTTTAACTATGTCCTAGATCCAACATGCACCATCTCAGTGATTACCGTACGAGAAAAATTGCCGAATTCCGTGAAAAAACTCGAGTGCGTATTGTATTTAACAAAGTTAACTAAATAAAACTCAGTATTAATTTATTAATAATTTGATGATTTTTTTTTTTATCTGTTGTAGCAACTACGCGAACAGCTAAGTTCGCCTTCGGAACAAGAGGAGGAAGTAGTCGAAGAAGTAGTGGACGAAGAAGTCGAAGAAGAGCAATCCGAAGAAGGTAATCGAAAAGAAGCTGCGGAAGAGGGAGAACTGAAAAGCAGTGAACAACCCAAGAAAAAGAGAAAGGTCGTTAAAAAAGTTGTGAAAATCTTAAAGAAAGTGAAGAAACCTAAAGAGGATGATACGACCTCTACAACCAAACATTCGGTAAGAAACACAAAGAGACCAAGGCTGGATGTACATTGCGTACACACACACATTGCCGATGGTGATAGCTATAATATGAACTGTTTGTTTTTGTTTAGTCCAAAACTAGAGATCAGACGACAAAACGGACAGAAGAACATGTGCGGACACTTTTATGTCCGCACTGTGAATTTACCAGTGTTAGGACTCGAGTATGTAAAATTTGAATGATAACTAAATAGTTGTCTACAAGAAGGGCTTATGTTACTTTTTTTTTTGCAAAATGGTTATTTTCTCTCTATAATGATTTTAGTGTTTCAAACTACCACTAGATGTCAGTAGTTGACTAGCACTGGGCTGCTGCATCAATGATAGGCCTTTAATTTATGGCGTTTTTTGTAAAATCTTATAAATGAAACAAATTCTTTTCTTGTAGACACCCATTCAATTAACTAAATAACAATTAATTAGGTATACTAATAGTAATAATCACTGACATCACTGTAATAAAATCTATAATTAATCATGGTCTAGTTTACACCTTATGTTACCAATATGATTGTTTGTCCTTACTTACTCATCTAACAGATAATATCTAGTAGTGGTTGGTTTAAACCATGTGCCTACCCTAAAATTAATGAGGGTTAGAGAAGTTGTAACATGAATTGTAATTAGCAGGTATTTAGTTAGACAATCTGTCTTGTAAACTAGGCCATTAGTTGCGTTGTTGTTTTCCTTTAAAATGAGAATTTTTATTTTTTAGGACTATGAAATGCATTTGATGAAAATACGCCATCGAAATGCAATGACCGTAATAGCGAGAAACCGAAAGCGCGAACTTTTTATGATTCGTCAAGACCAAAGGAAAGAACAGAAAGAAATCGATGACAACAATGACGGTGAAAATTCTGAAACTAAATTCTGCAAGTTATGTCAGTTGACGTATAAGCAGTCGAAAGGCGATCATTTCGCCAGTGTGTTGCACAAAGTAATTAAAAACCTGGTTAAATGGCTAAATTAAGATATCATTTACAATATAAATGTATTAAATCAGTTTGCCGTTGGAATGTAACTAGTACAATAGGAATATGTTAGATACTATGAGTTGGCCTTGCACTAGGAGAGACGATTAGACATAAATAAGAGTAACATTGACACTGTTGTATGTAGGGTAAATGTGACGTAAGATGTTGATAAAAAGCTAAGCTTAAGGTAGCTAACTTAAATGGAGGAGAAGCAAAGAAGTACTTATATATTAGGTATATATTTATAATGATATTGTTTTATTTGTTTAGAAAATCAAGCAGGCCACTCAGCCATCGTGTATTATTTGTCATTTAGTATTCGCATCTCCAATGCGTTTAGAACATCATTTGTGCAGCATCGATCATTTAGAGGTAAATCTCATTTTGTTTTGCCTTTTAAAGAGCGGCTAATTATTTTGACTCGTATTACTTAAGGTGTATGTATGATATTTTAGAAAGTGTTAAACCAACCACAGAAACAAGCTAAACAACCAGCAGCCGCAGCAGTGTCTGTGCCGAATGACATCGACGATGCTGAGGGAGAAGTAGATATAGCCAATTTTATGGTTTTGGATTCTGTCGGTTCTGGTGAAGGTAAGTTTTGATTATACAACAACTATTCATCGTCATTGAGTGATATTATAATAATTATGTGTTTGTGTGTAATTAAGATGAAGAAAAGCCAAACAAAATTGACAGCGAAAGAAAGAAAAAAATAAATTCTGACAAAAAACTTGCTTTAGGTAAGTAATCATCATTTGTGGTCGTCCATCCATTCATTCGACAGTTTCTTTTTATTCTGTATGACAATTTGTATTATTACAATTTAAAATTGGATTAGTAAATAGTTTAGTTTTGCATCGTATGCATACCACAAATATAATTTATGTATGTAATATTTGCTTAAACTGTATGTTCAGATTGTATTTTACCAAAAATATTATAAATTTTTTTTTTAATTTTAGGAATAGAATTTTGCAAACACGTCTATTATTGTGAATTGTGCGATCTCATATTACCAGTTCATGAAAATGTTGAACAACACTGTCACAGTAGTTTACACGTGCAGCGTTATGCACATCATTCTGACAAAAAAAACAAACAACAACAAAATGTCACCAAAGTGTCGTTCGAACAAAGTTGTTCACCGACGACAAAATGTGAATCCGCCGACAGCAGTGATGTCGATCCACCAAATAAGGTATGAAGCCGCCTGTCAATGATATTGACAATAATGGTATTGTTTGATACACTTTTGTAATACTAATATTATATCGTTTACGATTGCAGGACATTCTACACAATTTAAGTCCGAATAAATCCAGAGGAGAAGCGATCAACAACGACTTTGATCTTTGGTCTACATTAGATATGGTACTAGAAGACGTTAAAGAAAATAGTAACTCCGATAACGAAATATCTTCAACTGCTGAGACAAAGAACAAATCTTAAAACTGAATCGTTGTTTTAAAAAAAAAAAAAAAATTTTAACACGCTTAGTTATTAATTGCGATCCTTTCTAAGATTTATTTATAAGAAATGTTTTGAGATGTTCAAGTTTTTTTTCCTATTTTATTGTTATTATAGATTATAGACATTTTTTTCATACCCATAAAAACGTATAAACGCCTAAAGTAATTTTATATAAAAGTTAGTGGTATTGTTAAGATTATTAATTATTAACTTTAATAACACTTTGTTGTTTGACTATGATTTAATACGACGTGTATACTATTTGAACGTGGTTGAATACGAATTGCGTTGACATTCTAAAATGTATACGTTTTTTGTAACTAATTATATATTTTAATTATTAATTATTACATTAACTTGTTAATATTAATTGTAAAAATGTATACATACTTTATCGATATTATATGATGTATACAATTTTCAATGAGATTATGTTTAAGTACGTCTTAGCTTGATTACTATTATTATATTAGAAAATGTATACAATTTTGTGGAACTATACTTAAATAACTATTTATTTACATTACTTAACTATTATTGTTAAATTGAATTGGATATTAGCAATTATACAAATGTAAACATCTTTATTAGTACCAAACACTTGCAATGTATGTACTACATAATATGGCGATTATGCTTCCAACAATTTTTTTTAGTTTAATTACCAAAGTATTGTTAATTTAAACCGTACGAATGTGTTCGTCATTTCATATTGTTACTCATTATCATCATGTATACATTTTAAAACCATCTACTTATATTAATTATACATGATATTTAATTAACTATAATTGTTATTATTCATATTTTACTTTATAATTTTAACTATATAAAAACAATTCTATTCAAAGTTTAAATGTATACAATTTGTCAGATTTCAAAAACAGTTGTTTTATTGTGAATAAATGCCGAAACGTTAGAGAACTGGCTTTTAGATTTGGCTCTTTTAAGACTAAAAATATACAAATTATTATCTACTTATTATATTTATCTTAATGTGTGTATTGTACACATAAATTGTATAAACGTGTATAATGTACGGTTTTTTGAATAATTTTGCTGTAAAATATTTTTGTTTTCAATAATAGTCCAAATTTTACTCTGAATGGCATCATTGCTCTTAATAAATGTCCAGTTTTATATTATATGCGGCATATTTTTTATTTATATTAAACAAAAAAAACTGTACCAGTGTAATTTCCAAAAGTTTGTTTTTAATGTAATGATTTTTCTAACTAATAAAAAAACTGATCTGAGAATTTATATAGAATTCTTCCTTTTTTCATTTAAACCCAAAAGAATTTTCTAACTGTAATAATTCTTTTAACCTTTTGTTTCAATTATGAACCTAAATGAAATACAATGCAATCATATAACCAAAATATATTTCTATGGAAATGTATTTCCAAAACCAAATTTAGTTTAAATGAGAAAAATACCACATAAAAGATTCTTTTTACCTATGAAGAAACGTTAAAATTTTGTTGGACAGTACAATTCGAATATAATAAAGTTACTACAATGTTTCTTGGGTTTGGGAATAGTAATTAATTATCTGTTAATAATTATTCAACAATGTCTCGCATTAATTTAGGAAAAAGACTTCACTTATTTCACAAAAAAAAGTTGCAACCAAAAAGACAACAAACCGACTACAGACTATTTTTTCATAATAAATTGAGTTTTTCAGCTGTAGGGTTTCATCGATATAAAAAGATATATTTTGGAATTTTACTTTTAGTTTAATTTTTGATACCATGTTAAATTTCAAAATTTTGTCGTCAAACCGTTTTTTTTTTTTTGATAAAACAAAATCACTAATAGAACATATTTTAAAATATAGCGGTTTTTATAATATGTTATAATAATATTTAACACTTTTTACCATTTACAGGCTAACATTGATCAATATATTAGTGTTTTATAAATTTAAGTTTCGACGAAAAGCTGCACATTGTGAATTAAAATTGAGTTAAAGTATAGATATTAAATTTTGTCTATGAAACAGAAATAATTTATAAGGTGGTAAAATGTTTGTTTCGCACAACAATAAAATATGATCGGTGCCCAGCAAAAAGGATTTAAATCATCGAATTTGTATTTCTGCTCAAACATCCATATTGCAAATGGTAAAAAAAAAAATAAAAACAAATACTGGAGATATATTAAAAACGAGCAATACTACAGCGGTGTGATGAATTTTGTAGTATGCACGTACGTACCCATCACACCGCTGTATTAGGTAAAGGACGTACAACGTTTATATACCACACCAACGATCAATTTGATCACATGCGAGCATTGCTCACAACTTTGCTGTTAATAACGAATAAGGGTCGTGGCGTGATGCTGTGCCCCGTGAAGTAGATTGCGCTGTTGGTTATACAACGAATGTGCAGGGCCAAGGAAAATAATATATCTATCGAACTCCTTCAAATAAGTGGTCGGTTTTTTTTTTTATAAGCCAGACAGAATTTCGTCTACTTGGGGCGGTCAGATTTCAATTCTTTAACGATTTACAATAGTGCTTACAACACTTGTAGAACAACCTTTTAACGTTTTTTCACAGGTAACAACAATTGTAAAATTAGAAAATTATTTTGTGTTTAAATAAAAAAATGAATAATTCTGTATCAATTCTCAGATCAGATTTTTATTATTAGTTAGAAAAATCATTAAACGTTTACATTAAAAACACAATTTTTGAAATTACAGTTTTTTTTTTTGTTAAATTTAAATAAAATATAAGACCGGTCAATCAGTAAGAGCAATGATGCGATTCAGAGTAAAATTTGAACTATAATTGAAAATAAAAATATTTTACAGCAAAAGTATTTGAAAAAACTGTACATTATGCACGTCTACACAATTTACAAGCTACTCTTTACTGGGTTATGCGGGAAAACGGATATTTTGTATTTTTGTTCAACATAAAAATGTTGGTTTTGAAACATTTTCAAATTGAACTGAATTTTTCAAATAAAAATCCGTAAAGCTAGTAAAGTAGTAGCCAAACAACAACTCGTATATCTTTGCAGAACTATTGAATTCCGACCATCCTGAGCAGTGGAAATTTGTATAACGTTTACCTAAGACTGCCTGCATACTATAAAATTCGTCTTATCGCTGTAGTATTGCTTATTTTATATCTTCCATATATGTTGTTTTCAGTTTTTGTAATATTACAGTGTATTTTATATTGTGTTTTATTATTAAATGTCACTAAAACGTACAGTTTAATTATTTGCTCTTTACAGTCTATCCTACTTATCTTAGGATTGCTAAGCTATTGTAAGAGTCATTAAATTTCATATGATAATATAACTGTATTCTTTTTTTTTGATAATATACATTGTAATTAACAATTTAATGAAAACAGTATATTTATTAATTTTTCGTTTTTCCTTAATAAAACAAAAAGATCAACAGCAGATAATTGAGGAAATTGTATATTATATTATATGTATAGTTCCACTTTATATCTACCATCGGTCTCATTTTTAGACTTAAAACCCTAAAACTCAGAGTTGGGTAAATGTACGCATAAAAGTTTCATACACCAATATAACATGCACAATAAGTATGTTTTATACATTTATATATACACAAGTAAAATACGTATAAATTGCAACGAAACTTATTTTATAGTGTATTAATAATAATGTTTACGGCAAAATGTAGGTTTTTTTTTATTAAATTATGAATATGCGGCTCTATTTGAGGAAATTCTCAAATAAATATTTACACAAAATATATGTTAGTTGTAACCAAATTCCATTACTTAAGTTTACAAATGAGGCCTTCAGCACTATAACGGACTAAACCACAAATAGTAGTATAACAATAAAAATATAAATAATATAATAATAATATATATAGATGAACTAACATATCGTCGTGTCCAACGAAGAAGGACGTAACTCGATTTAAAAAAAAAAACCACTACCTAATTTGAGGTTCTTACTACAAAGAAAATGATTAATAGAGTGAGGAAAAAAACAAAATTAATAATATTTATGTGTATTTAATTAAAAAAAATTAATTATATAAAAGAGAAATGAAATTTGTGGAATTGAATCTTAAACATATATTTCTAGAGTACAATAATTTACAAAAATAAAGTTTAACGTTATGTATATCGACTAATTATTTGAGTTGGATATTAGATTTTTTTTAATGCGGCTAGTATACTGTTTTAAACTAGATAAAGCTGCAGTGCTCGTAACAAAACTACCCGTTGGATTTCTTGGTCTAAATAGGTTAAGCAATTCATTTCTTTCGGCTGCTTTCAAACCCTGAAATAATAATATATATGTATATGTAAAAATATATATATAGAAAAATAATATATATAGAAATATAATATACAGTTGTCTTAAGCTCTACCTTCATTTCTAAAATTTTCTGAAACTCAGTCATATCCGATTCAGGCAATAATTTTAAGTACTGATCGACAAATGATGTGTAGTGTTTCATTGTAGGTGCCATAACAAGTTTAAGTATCATTTCCGCTTTAGTCATACCTTTGACTACAACTTTGGTGTAACTAAAATGTTATTTAATTTAATGATTTTTAACCATAACCAGTGTTATACTAATATTTAATAAAACTGATTCCTACCTAGCTGGAGCTTTACGATTATCGTCAAGGTTCATTGATGGTAAGTCCAATAGAACTGTTTTTAATGAGTGGGTATCTAATAACAATTGTTCAGCACCAATATTTGACAGCGGCTTACATTTATACAAATGTTTTATAAACTTTGGAATGAAAGAGCTGAAATTCAAACAATTGTTTTTTCTTATTAAGTATAAGATACTAACAATTCTTACACAATTAATATATACATATATACAGCAGGGATTATTGCTCATTTTTCAGAATAATTTCTAAATTGCTTATGTAAAAGATGTATGCATGTTAAGGAAAATAGGTTTTTTTTTTAATGTACTGAGCAAATGCCCCACTGGAAAAAATGTTTGCTGCTGCCCCTGTTACTGTGCAATACCTATGAGTTCATTTAACACTTACTTTGCAAACGTAATACAAAATTTTGTAAAATACTTTCTAGATGATGATAAATAGTTACGGACCACAGGAATAACAGCTTTTAAATGAGTAGTCATCAAAGAGACATATTCACTCTGATCACCAACAGCTGTAATGTTTTGCCATGAAACCTTAAAAAATCAAAAAATAGTTCTAAAAAATTGACCAAATGCATGGACGGACTTGTTTTAAAATTTTAATGAATCATTTACTTTGACCATATTATTAAGTGCGGGTTCTAAATCGACTTCTAGATGTTGAACCAATAGCTTGATGGACAAGAAAATAATGCTAAAAACGTGAATTGTCGTTAATAAAAAAAATATTTGACTTATGAGAAATCTTACTTTTGGAAAACTTCTTGCTCATTAGTCATGCTAATTTTTCCTATTAAGCTTGGATCAATTTTTTCTTTTAATTTATCTTCCAATTGTTGTGTGGTCTCCATACAATAATCAGCAGTTGTCAAAACACTATAAGTGAAATCAAATAGTAATAATAGTTTTTAAATACATTTGTAAATAATATACTTACCAACATATTTTAGCAAGCTCTTGTGGCGTACAATTAACATTCTTCACATTAGCATCAGACATCCCACTTGGAAGTAATTGTAGATCCTTTATTAGGTCTTTAGTCATATTCGATACATTTGTAGTGAGAGAAGTAGGAGTATGACTTATTCTTCAATGTTTTATGCGTAGAGACAAAAAATATTAGTTTCATAATATATTAGTACACATGGTGATCCGTTAAACGTAAGAAACTCATTTCCTTTCAAAATATTCTTTCTTTTTTACAATTTTGTAATTTTTTCTTTTAGAGGCATTTATCTGAGGATATTTTACAATATCAGACATTATTCAAATTTATCTTTTTTGGTAAATCCCATAGCTCTATCAACTTTTAGAACTCAGGTAGTAAGGTATATATTTTATAAACTTTTTAAATTAAGCATAATTTATTAAAAATGTTGATTGCTCGATAACCAGTTTTAAATAACTAATTAGGTATTTAAGGTTAATTAGGGTAACTGTAGTATTTTTTTTATCAGCCCACATTAACTAAACTGCACTTCAACTCATGTCCTAAATTTTTAACTTTAGAATAAATTATTCAAAACTGGTTAATAACCAGTGGTTATTGACCAGCCAAAATTATTGGTTAATTATTTTTAATTTAAAAAGTTAAAATTATTACAATACTATTTAAGTTTTAAAAGGCAATCTCTGAAATTTACCAAAAAAGTTAAATTTTAAATAATGTTAAATATTGTAAAATATAAGAAGAAGAAAATTCCTCCAAAAAGAAAAACTATAAAATTGTAGTTGTTTTTAAAGAAAATGGGTGTTATACATTAAACCGATCACACTGTTTTATGAATGCAATAAGTATTAATAGTAATAATATTCATTTTACTTTGGTAAATTAGATTCTAGTATTTTACTCGCATATTCTTTTAGGTATTTTTGAAACACAGAAGCTAAAGCAAGCATAGGATTATGGTTACTTAGTTCTGTACACTGTACTAGAGATTTTTTATAAAACAAAAATAAATCGGCACAATTCGGTAACACAGACGCAGTTTGATCGTCAATGTTTTCTTTTGCTAAAGTTATTTTAATATCATTAACAAATCGTTCCATGAGTTCTGATAAATTTCTAAAAAGGAAAAAAAAACATTAATATACACTCAAACCATGAATAATATTAACGTCACTTATTTACTTATCAACACTGTCAATATAAATAAAAAGAAATGGTTGGAAACAATCACTTATCAAACCATCAAATGAAGATGTATTCTTTTTTATGCCAATATTATTAACAGGTGTGGTTATACTATCCATAATACTCTCCGATACCGTCAATTCGTTTGAAAATGGTTGAATGATTTCTTCTACTTTAGTAATAGTTGCCAACTGTTGGTTCTGAACAAATTAAAAAAATATAAGTAATGTTTTATCTTTCACATAAGACAATTGCACTAACAGGTTTTGAAGCATCTTCAGTCTGAGTTATAGTACTACCACTAAACGTTCTAGACATTAAGTTTTCAAATGCAACAGTTTTTTGAATTGCATACAGCAAAAGTTTTACATCTATCTCATTCTTCCTTTTACCCATCAACTTTGATAGTTCATTTCTGTAACATATATTTATGATAAAACTAAATATTTTTTTCTTTTACAAAGTCAAATAAAAACCACAGTTTCAAAACTAGTTTACGCACTTGGTGATAACACAAAATTCAACTGCAATCCTTTTGGATAATTCCCATTGAACAGGAAACATAGTTCCAAACTTCTCTTCAATTTGCAAAAGTTGACGTTTGAACCAGGCATAGCGCTGATTTACTTTGTCCAACCAGGCTACATCTTCAGCACTATCAAATAAATGAGTATATTCTGATAGTTGAAGGTTGATAAACCAGTCCAATAGTTCATCTCTACAAATTATTTAGGTGCTAATTTAATTCAAGTAATTAAATACTTTGCATACATAATAAGTAAAATATATTTTTTTTATTACTCAGTTCCTTACTTTACTTTGGATTCTAAAATAGAAACAACTAAACACGCTTCAGCCATTTGTCGATTAGGGACAAAATTTTTTGCATTTGGTCCTGAAAAGGCTTCATGAAAGTCTGCCATAATTTGTGACGCTAATGATTCTTGTAGTTGTTTTACCTGTATTCAAAAATAGTTAACACTCAAATGAGTATTTAATTACTCAATATTTGTATTGTTTACTTCTGTTGCTAATAGAGCAATATGTGGAATGTCTATATAATTTTTAAAATGTTTCATGACATCAGTGACTCCCTGTAGAGGCATTACAATCTCTCCATATTTTCGGTTAGAAGTCAATCCCCTAATTTTCATTTGAAGTATTAGAGAAGCTCTTTAAAAATATAAATAATTTGCAAATTGCATACCTGAGCGATTCAATACCAGAAACTAGCATATGCAAGTTATTTAAAGTAGTAATTGACGTAGTAAGATTTTTTTTAGCACAATCTAGTTGTTCTATATCTATTGTTATCTCTTTGACTACTTCTTCACTGTGTTCAGCTTTTTGTTTAATTTCTCTAATTTGGCTGAACAATTGTTTGATATAACGTTGTGCTTCCTCGAGCTCAGCTTTTCCATCCTTTGTAAAAAATCACAAATTAACAGAACATACTAATAAGATGTAAAGAACTTTATATACTTTATTGACTTCTATTTGTCCTCGAATAACTGATCTTATTTCACTATCAATAGAATCTACTTTGCATTCTAATGAATTGATGACATCATCTATATTAGCTAGAGACTGTTCTGTAGGAAACATCTTGTTGATATAATCAATTGCGTCAAATTCGGGTCTATCCAGTGGATCGTCACTTGGTAGTGTCTAAAATTAAAAAATAGATATACATACATTATAACGTCCAATTACACATAATGAAATAAATGTGTGTTTAAAGCTACCTCGTCAATTGCATTTTGCACAATCTCTGAATAAACCAATGCTTCGTTATTATTATTGGGACCTTCGATAATTTCTTCATCATTAGCTATCATGTTTAAGAATAATTTGAAATTATATTTGAAGTACCCGTTGAAATTTAAAACTGTTTAAAGATGGTCAACAGCATCGTATAAATTAATTTTACTGAGCTGTATGAACTACGAAGGTTCAATTATTCAAAAATGAAGATACAATACAACATATATAACTGATTATACCGTAGAGCAATAATATAATAAATATAAGTAAGTATATAATTAAGTAACAAATTCTAACAGCTAACTTGTTAGTTGCTACTTGTAAAGCTGTAAGTTATTGATAGCAACTTCTGTGCTATCACCACAGATACATAAACATGTTATTATATCTGTGGCTATTACTGATAACATAAGCTGATAAGCGATTTTCGTTATCATATTAGCTTTATCACATCTCGTTTGTAAAAATTCTATCAAATACAATTTAAATGATTTGGTTATATTCAATATTTTAGTGCTATTCGTACCTGATACCTGTTAATGGCTACACTAGTCACCCTAATTTTCTTGTTGTTGCACTTAACATCTTTGCAGTGTTAGTTTATTAGTTTTGTAGTTGTGTTGTTCCTATAAGTAGATATGATTTATTCGTTTAATATCTAACAGCCACTTGCTCGTGCATTTACGTTGCGTCCAGTTAATGACACCAACGACATTGCTGTTTGTTGCCATAGTTGCTTTAGTCGCAGTAATACTAGCTTACCAAAACAGCCACCATGAGCTTCAGCTTGTGAAGCTGTTGGTACGACAACTTAACTTGACGCCGTGTCCACTGTGTTTGGGCAAAGACTTCTGTGACGATACACAATTTTTTGAAATAGATTATCAGAGACATGCGAGTAACATTAGAAGAGAAGATGGTTACTTGTTGTCGTTGTTCACTTCGTTGGCACAATGTTTTGAACCATGGTTTAGTCGAAACGACAAGATCTTTTTTGGTAATTTGAAATTGCAAAACGGTACTGTGCTATCTGCGGTTGCAAAAAGTGCTGGTTACGAACATACTGAGCAATTTCGACGGAGTGTCGTTGACCATATAAATGAATCGAGTTTCATTGATCAATTGCATTTGGAACTCAAGGCTGAGTTGTCGTCATCTATTAGTCATGGGCTGATAGTGTGTTCGAAAACTGATGGGAAATCGGCTGTGCCGTTTATTGATTTCTTAAATTCAACAATAAAAAAAACCAATACAATGTCTTGGCTGGAATCGTGGACTGCCGCACATTTGTCCCCCGATCTTTTGGTGCTCAAGGTGAAGAACGAAAAACTTTTAACAATTATTGAAAAACTCGGTTGTTAAAATGTCATTTATGTTTTATTTAGATTTTGAACGGATATTTGTACGCCCCAATATTTTACGGAGTGTGCGGTCAAATCTATTTCGTTGAGAACTGCGGACTTACTCTACAGTATTTCTATGACAAAATGAAATTGTACACTAGACTGCAGGTGGTTCGTGAGCTGCTCAGGTTAGCCGTAGAGTTAACCGATGGTACTGCTCACTCAAATTATTCGTTTTATCTCACAGATTTGACAGCCGATAACATTGCTATTCGATTAGATGACAAGAGCGGCTTGCTATTATCGTTAAAAATCATAGACTGGAGCGATGTGGTTGTAGTGATGAATGCGGGCGATACGATTACAAAGAAAAACAGTAAGGATCGAAATACACAATATTGTCGGTGTAAATATGAAATTACTGACATCGATTTTTGTCAATATTACAGTTCATGTCAGCGAGCATATTGAATGCGGTCCTGGGTGTTTGACTTATTCGGAAGACGACATCTGCAGCGCGAGCTACAGCGATCATAATGTCTACGCTGTGTGCAAGGTATTAAATTGAAAACAAATTTATAGTTGTTTTTATATTTTTATTGGTTATTATTGAAAATTTAATTATTTGTGCTATGTTAATTTTTATTTCTAGGAATTTTTGAGTCCCGAGAAAAGCATATTGCATGAGATAACCAATGAAAACCAACTGAATGGCAAAGATTATTCACAGTTTCGAACAATCGTTAATCATTGCATATCGAATTTCAATCCAAACAATATCAATTCGGGACTTGGCAGTAGATTGAACACAGCTAACATATTGATGTCTAAAATCGATCAACTCTTGTCATTGGCATAGGCTATTTTGGTACTTACAAAAGATAAAAGATGTACTTAATTGTTATTCATTTGTATATGGTTGTGTTATTGTTATTTATATTTTTTATGAATATAAACGTTGATAAGCTTGTATAACTTATTAACTCGACTATTTCAATATCTTGATAGAGAATTATTATTGGTTTTAACATTTACAGGTTTTATATTGTGTTAAAATCATTAAAAATATTATTATTTTTTATTACGAGTGTTTTTTTTTTACAGAGATAGTCTTGGGACGATTAGTATTTTTTACTACGATTTTTTAATTGTAACAATCCCACTAAATTAAAAAAGTTAAAATTTTAAATTAACTTTAACTAATTATATTTTAATTAATAATAATAATGATTTTTTTAACACTTAAAAACTACTACAGTGACTAAATCAACATTATATACTAGTAATAAAAAACAGTTCAAAATAACAGTCAAAATATTAATTTTATTTTATTATACTTAATACCATACTTGACATTTTTAGTTTCATTTCAGAAATACTGAAGTACATAATGTTATCTTAAATACGTTAAATGTTCCCATGATACAGTACATAAAAATTTAATATAAATTAGTGACGCCGAAAATCTTTTCAAAAGTAAAAAAAAAAATGTCTATATTTACAAACTATAATAACACTACATATCTCTAATTCTTGGTAAAATTTAAAAGTCGGAAAACAATGTTTTCACAACAATATTATGTTTTGCTAGTATAATAAATAATGTAATACTACAATATACAATTTACGACTTAAATAATATTATTGATAATCTATATAGGGTGTACACGGTTTTATTAATTATTATACGAATATTATCTAAATATTAAAATATCTAGTAAATTTTGATAAAATATAACGTGCAATTAAAAAATTTGATAAAAGACATTTGATCGTCTCAGTTTTCATTATTATTTAATATAATACAACAATGGCGTGTCTAGTAAGATCAAGCGCTTATACAAAAAAAAAAAAAAAAACGCTTGAACCGACACTAAAGAGGAACATAAAAAATAATTAAATTATTTAAAATAGATAAATAATGAAATAATATTAGTATTAACAACAAATCAATTGTCATTACGGCGCCACTATTACAATTATGTACACTAGGGGGGCAATTATTTAAAAAAATTATATACAAAAATGTGTTGTTATTGGTAGAGAGACTTATTTGGTTGCAACGGCTGGCGACTGTTTGTTCGGATTCACTGCGGCGTTGCTCTTCGCCAGTTCCCTCTTGCGTTTCCTGATCTTCTTTCTCCTGCGATCCACCACCACAATGCGCGCTTTGACCATGTTGTAATCTTTTCGAAGTTCGTTGATTTTGGCCAAAATCACCACTTGACGTTGAGCCGAATCCATCTCTGGTGCTAAAACAGAAACATTAGCATCATAACAAACGGTATGTCAAGTTAGGCATAATCAGCGATAATTATTTCAAGTTATACTTACTGAACGTAACCAGCGGTTTACCGTCTTTAGTGGGAATCGGTATTTTGCTATGGTCATAACGTTCGCTTTCGGGCTCTAAAAAAACAAATATCAGTTTATTTTTATCTTATTTTAATTATCAGTTTTATATTTTTTTATACCCGGTGCAGCAGCAATTTGTGCTTTGTTGCGTTTTCCTGTTGTGTGTTCGTGGCTACTGATTTTGCGCTTGGCTTGAGGTTTCTCTACTTTCGTGACTTCTATGAACGAGAAACAAATTGTTTAAAACATTATTCTACAAGAACAATTTCAAAATATAATTATTGGTTCATACGTTCGACAGGGGCGGATGTTGGTTGTGGTTCGGGTATTACGGGTTTGGTAAAGAACGAACTTTCGTCTCGACTAGAAACCTCTGCTAAGAATCGTAAATGTCTCTGATCTATATTTCCGTCCCTGTAAATATAGATAAATTGTATTATTATTACTGTACACGTTATTAATATATGCATACACAATATGTAAATGTAATCTTGTTATTTTAACATATATTAATCATATTAGAACTAAATTACAACAATGGAGGGAAACATTATTTGATAAAGTGTACTTTTATTAGTACAGCAGTGAGTAGTAGTCATTGTGTGTAGTTCATTTTTTTTTTTGTTAGACTATCATACCATCAGTTTTCCAACGTTTTTCACTTTAATTGTTAGGTTATAAACTCTTTTATTTTGCCTGTAGTCTAAAAATGTCAGCGGCTTTAAGAAAACAATACACCAAGTACATCAGAGGCCTTTATTTCATACGGTGTGTAGAAAAAAAGGTTAATAAAAAAATAGAATAAATTTGATTTACAAAAATAAAATGAGACCCCAATTTTTATGATAGTTTTTAATCATTTTTCATTTAGCAAACAACTTACTCAAAATTCAAAACTAAAAAAATCTCTTATCAAGGTCTAAAAGATTAAGGTAAGTTTAACTAATAACAGCAAAAATAGTCATAACTTTTACAATTATTGAGCTTGAGATTGAAAAACAATTTTTGAAAGAACCATAGCTTCCTCTTTGATGCAGCAAAAACCATCACATAAGATAATATGGTGCTATAGTAATAATATGGCATTGATTTTTTTCGTAGCCTACATTTTAAAAATTGATTTTCAGATTTATTTGTGCATATTTCTTTAAGCTTAGTTTGGCTCAAATAACAACGATGATATTAAAATGACTTATGAACAGAAGTAATTACCCATGAAGCATATCGTAGTCGTGCGGTTCGCTGTCATTGGAAGCGATTGCCGAATTGCGGAACGCCAAGTTCATGGCAAACATGGCCGATGCCGCTTCTCTTTCTTCGTAATACTGATTTATCGATTTCTTTCTGTCTTCTTGATCATATTGGTCATCGGCTGCGCCTGTCGGGCTGCCTGGTATGGTTTCTTCGCAAAACAATACGTTGTTGACGTCGGCTTCCGGGTTGTAGAAACCCTTGCTGGTGCTCGGCATGCTGGTATCGTAGAAATTACATTTGCTCGTACTCGGTACACAGTTGTCGTATAAACTACTACTGCTGCCACAGTCTTTGCTGGTGACCGACTTGTCTTCGTAGACGACCTTCTTGTCGGCGCCGCTGTCGAACGGAACGTTACCCTTAGACGAACCTGGTTCGTACAAACCGCTACTGCCATCCGCCTTGATTTTGGAAGGCGATTTGGATTTATAGAAATGATGTTCGAGAACGGGTTGTTGTTGAGGTTGATGGTGTATGGCGTTGAAAAACCCTTTGCTTGTGCTAGGCTTGTGTATGTCGTAATCAACGTTACGACCGTAGTTGCTAACGATAGCATTGTTCAAGGTTTCTTCGTCGACAATCTCTTCCCTGCACTGTAGTTCCGACACGCCCTTTCGGGTTTCCGGGTCGTTGCCGGTCAGGTTCCGCTGTTGGTCGGCGGCCGCTGCCGATATGGCCGGATCTTTGAAATCGACCACGTCACCCGACGACAACTTGAACATGGTCTCTTTGGCGCTCTCTGTGGTCGACGAAGTCGGACTCAACTCGAAGTCGTATCCTGAACGAGTGCTGTCGTTGTTGTCCATGAACGGCTGGTACACCGGTGTTTTGCCGGACTGGTGGTCTGCGGCGCTGGCGTACACTTGAAAAGCACTCTGGTGGACGGTGTCGGCGACATTCTGTTGGTCGTCGTTCTCGTTGCAAGAAACGGTGCTTTCGTCGTCCACGTCTTGTTTGGGCGTCCGGCTATGGTGCCTTTCGACCGTGTCCGAACCCTTAGAATCCTCGTCGGCGTCGCCCACCGGTGGCGGGCTCGCGTCCCGCGCACAGCCGTCTTCCGCCGGGTGTCCTTCGCTTGGCCACATTGCATGTTCTCTGTCGACGTCCTCGTCGTCGTCGACCATTTCCATCGGGTAATCGTTTTCGGTTTTGTCGTTTTCGGCGATCACCAATTTCGCATCGTCGTCGTCTTCTTCGTCTTCGTCCTCTTCGTCGTCAACCGTGTCCTCGTCGGAGTCGACGATGCTAATGCCGGCGACGAACGCGGCTTCGCTGGCCGGCACGGAGAGGATCGGTTTCGTGCACAGATCCAACACTTCGTCCGGACGGACGACGGGTCTGCTGGCGAACATAGGCGCAGGAACGGTAACGACCGTCACTGCCGCCGGCCAGTCGACAACCGGTAGAGACGTTACGGTTTTCCGGTGGTCGCTGGGTGGTTCCGTTTTGTCATGTCCGTCTTTGGGGTCGACGCTGTCCGTGGGCAATCCCGAGTGTATGACGGAACGGAAAACGTCCAGCGCGCCGGGATCGTCTGCCGCCGCGGCCATCGGGGTCGACGGTTCGACCGGTTTGTCGAACGAGTACAACTTTGGCGGCTCGGAATGCTTGACTAGCCTACGGTCGCGCTTTTCGTCGATGGCCGACGGCAGCGCCTGTAAATCGCACGGTTCCGGTTCCTTGAACTCGTAAATGTCTTCCGTCGTTTCGGTCGAGCCACGCCGGCTTCGCACCTCGGCCTTGAGTCGCGGCGGTTCGACGTCGGGCGATGATCCGTCCGCGACGACCGCCACGTTGCCGTCGTTCGACGACAAAGTTGGCGGCTGCGGAGGTACATGACCGGTGGTGAGCCCTTTCATCTCGGACCGTATCTCGTTTAGATCGAAATCAGTGCCGGTCACCGACGGTTTGGGTTCTTCGCCCCGCTTCTTCAGCAACGGCGGCGGTTTTTTGTCATCGGCCATTCTCGTCTTGAGCTGGATCTGTTCGTCTTCGGACGACGAAGACGTCGACGATAACGACAGCGACGACGACGACGACGACGAATGATAATACGCCACGCTACTGGACGACGACTTGGTCAGTTTCGGCAACTTCTTGACGTGAGACGACTCGATTGGTTTTCGTTCGGCGGCGGTTAGACGGACAAGAGCCGCCGCGCTAGGCAGTTCGGGCGTCGTCGACGGTTGGCGACGATCAGCGTTCCGTTCGGATTTTTCCCTTGGCGACGGATAGTGGATGACGGCGGATTTGGCTTCGTTTTTCATAATGCAGTTGTCATCGTCCTCGTCGTCGTCTTCGTCGACGTCGCCGCCAATGCCGTCCACGTCTTCGTCGTCTTTGTTCTTGGTCAGCGTCTTCGATGACGGCGTACCGCACTCGGCGGCCGGCGGCAGGGTGGGCAGCGGTTGTTGTTTCTTGGGCGTCGCCTTCTCGCCGCCACTGATTTTCGATCCGTCCGACGGTTTGTTATCGGCGCCGTGTGACCGGAAGCCGCAGATTTTCGGTTTCTTGGGACCGGAACGTTGCAACAGCGCTTCTTTGCTGGGATACGTTTTCGGGTAAAGCGATTTCTTTTGCCCGTCCGATTCCGGCGAATCGCCCGTCTTGGTCGGCGACCCGTCGTCTCTCTCAGCCTTGGATATCTTCAACGACTGATGGTTTCTTTTGTTGTACTGTTTGGCCAATCCCAAATTGCCCGAATACTCGCTTTCCGAATCTGAATTATCTGCAAAACAAAAACAATTGGATGAAAAGCTAATCTAATCGGTCTTCCATGTATCTAACCAATAAACACATATGTACATGCGTTCCTCTCTAAAGGAATGTGTTTTTTTTTTGTTTGGACAAGTGTGAATTATGCGTTTCAGTTTGAATGGAATGTTAATGCAAACTTAAATAATAAATGTCAATAACAAAAAAAATGCCTTAAATTAGCAATAATAAATTTACATTTACAGGGTGGTACACGGAAATAGACCTTTTTTGTTGTGCATAATTTTAAGTTTGTAGGATTGGTAGAAAGTTGACGGAGACGTTATTTTACTCTCTAAGACGTGACGGCATTTTAGACATCATGCATTGGAGGATTTTGGACTTACGATATGGGTAAATTAATTTCGGACATGAGGAACAGAGATGAAAATGAAACAACCAGGCCCAAGAAGGGCTGTAAGAACCCCGGTAAACGTTGAGAGGGTAAGAAAAGGCGTTATTGAAGATCTCTGCTCGTTTTGCACGTCTTCAAACTTGTGTGGATGAAATGGTCATCACTCCATAGATGTAATTTTTAGTAAATAATATTTACAAATAATGTCATGATGTATGTTTTTAATAATAATTAATTTTTTTTACAATAATTGACGGTACTGCTTACTTCAAAAAATGTCTATTCCCACGCCTCAGCTGTATTAAATGTGAAATAACAAATTTATAAAAAAAAAGTGTATTATTTGTCGTTTTTAAGTTTTTATAAGTTTTACTAAATTATAAAAATTAAATTGGAAAAAAAATTAAAAATGCATTTCATCATACATTAAATTGCATTACATTTGAAAACATTAAATTATTCTGGATTAAGATTTAATTTAGAACTTACACTAAATAATGTGTTAAAAATAATAGAATGCTACCATTCTCACATAATATTATCTTAGTTGATAATTAAGAGTTATCAATTATCTTCAGCGCTTTATGCCACACAAATGAGGACCATCAGCTAAATCGACTCTCTACATACTTTTCTTTAACCAACATTATGTTTCTTTCTGCTACTTCCAACTCTCCAAGGTTAACATCATCTTCTTTAGACCTCTCTACACCAATCTCTTTTACCCATTTCACTATTTTATTTTCTTCCCTTATTGCCCGACATGCATTCCTCTTTCATTCAAGTCTCGCTAACGGTGTAACCAATTAACTAACTCGTGTGTACCAATTCCAAATCGCTTCTCGTCTAATAGCTCCACGCATTCATTTCAAGTCTCAGCATTCCGTTTTTACCTTTACATTCACTCCTATAGTCTTGCTGATTATTTGGCCAGCCGACCATATCCACTGTAGTTTTATAAAAATGTTCCTTTTACAAATATCAACGGCCCTTCATCTACCAAAGTATAAATCCTGGGGGAGGGGAGTGGAACTTGGCGGTCAATACGGGTACAGCTATCAATTATACTGTTAACTCTTCTCAGCTTACCTCTAATAGTGTACTTGCCGATTGACGACAGCGGTTGGTCGACCATCGTGCAGGTTCTGGTCGGCCGAGAACTGCCAAACGGTGACTTTTTGCGGCCGCCCGCGTAGGACATACACGGAGTCAACGATCTCCTTGTCCTGCTGGTCATGCTCACGGGAGGCATTTTTTTCATGTCCATGTTCTTTTGCTAAAAAAGAAATAATTACTTAAGTAAATATTGTATTATAAACACTACGGCAGTTTAAGGGGTTGTAGACTAGAACTATTAGCTGCAAGTAAATAATAAAACCAGGCTCTGTTTTTTTTTAATTACTCTTTTAATTTTTTTTACATATTTTAGAGTAATAAAAAGTTTTTATTAATTTTTATATGTTTGTGGTCTTAAAATACAATAGCCTGATTGTGAGCAAACAATTTTATTTTATTCATTCTTTTCATTACTTTTACCGTTTTATAATGTCTTAATAGATGTTATCAGTTTAATGTAAAATTAATAATGTTTAAAAAAAGTTACTTTGTAACGTTCAAATTCTATAATATTTACAAAATTACAAAAGTTTGAAAATCTATTTCAAAACAAAATTGTGAAATCACTATTAAAATGTTTAATATTTTTAAAACCCTTTTTTTTTTTATTTAAAAAATACAACACATCGGTATCAAAAATGTTGACCTACGTAACTCAACCGTTTCATTTTTACTGTTAATTTATTTTTCAGCAAGTTCATGTAATTAAAAACGGGTATTATCTATATTTTCATACCTCGTTAATGGACTGTGATAAAAAAAAAATTGAACAATTTGGATGCGCCGTTTCAAACGGGTACGATCCTAGTTGTATAGTCACGTTTTTGCGCGGTATTCACTATTTACTTGCCAAGAAGAATATTATTATATTGCAGGAGTTGGAAGGTTAGGTTTACAATAATGGACCAGCATATAGTAGAATTTTAATAATTGCCGGTTCAAATACCCGTTACTATGAAAAAAAAAAATTTTTTTGAAAATCAATAGGTTTTCATCGGCGGACGACATGTGTTGGAAAACAATACTTAAAGTTCAGTAAAATGTGCTCGGCTCTCGGCGACTGTGATCGGAGAAAATGTTGATCCTCAAAAATTTATTTGGCCAGTTGGCGTTACAGCTCGGTGTGATCCTAATGTGCTCTTTGTTTATTGTATGGAAGTAAAAAAAAAAACCCCAATTATGTGCAAGTGTAAGTTTCATCGGTAAAACGTCATGTGTTTGTTCCATTTCAGACATTGGCTGTGTGCACGATACTGATAAACGCCTTTTCACTCAATGGAGAAGAACCGCGTAAGTATGGCCTTTAATATCGTTCAATATGATAAGCACATTATTAGACTAGCTAACTAAAATAATTTTGTTGTGCGGTTTTTGTGTTTTTTTTTTTGTAAATTCAAAAAACATGAGCACGCACAAATGTTGCATTGTTTAGTATATTGTTTTTGTTTTTTATTTTACTTTGTACATAGTTCCATGGATCATTATGTTCCTTTTCAGTATTATAATGATTGTCATTTGGTTGATAGCCGTTATAGGAGCGAACAAAGTAAGTTTTATGCACACATACATTGACCTGCCCGGGATGGAAGTTAAGCAGTTTAATTGAAATATAATTTGTTTGTGTACAATTTTTATTTTTCGTTATTAGAACAGTACTTGAACTGAAAAAAAATTATCTGAATAATATTCTTTTGATACTACTTTTTACACTAAATTATGTAACATGAATACAAATAGATTTTAACTTAAATGTATTTCAAGTTTCTTCAAAAAATAAATCAAAACAATACAAATCAATTTAATAACTAATTAAAAAAATTATGTTATGTTAGCTTTTTCTAAAGCTAATATAAATAACCCTTAAAAATGTTTATATGTTTTTTTAATATTTTTATATCTAATATCGCCCTTATTGTTTCCCTTAATTAAGTTAACGCCTTCAACCCGTTAGAAAAACCTAATTCATAAGTGTACCTAAATATTTTGTTCAAGTATTTGGTCTAATAATGTTTTAGATGTGAGAATTACAAGAATTGCTTTTTAGCAATATCATTTCAACAGTAAACTTTATCATGTCCCTCGTTTGGTAAATTAATAATAATAGTTCTTTTTTGTAATTTTTTTTTTTTGTACAAGATTACTTTGTTGCTTTTGCCAAGTTAACGACAACTTCCATCCCAGTAATACCTTTTAACGTTTACCAAACATTAACCTGCACTTTAACGTTTAGGATTCGTCTAAAATAATTTCAACGGCGACCATACTGTGGACCATTTTTCTGACCTTATGGGCGGCGCTTGTATTTCGTTCTTACTACAGCGCCAGCAACACCAGGTAAAATATACACATTCCATTTAGACCTGTAACTTGAATCTAAATGGGGCTATTTCGCAGATTGCGACTTTTGGAAAATTAACTTAGCAATATTTTTACTTTCCACAAGGCTCCGTAGTCAATTTTCTACTTAATTTTAATTTGTAGCTCTTTATATAACTTTGCAATCTTTGTCCTGAAAGCGCTGTGACACAAATAGCCCCCACTAGTATATACATTAATGTAAATTACTGTTAATTTTTCCTAATTTAAATACTTTTTATTTAAATTTTTTATATACAACCAATTCACAAGAAATATACAATGTAAATTATTTGAAACTATTGACCCGAGCCAATATTTAATGACGGTTTGGAGCAGATAAAATTTAACAAATATTTTATAATTTTTTAATTGTCGGGGCTGCTATTCTACAATTAGACATAAATGAGAAGTAAGAAAAAAAAACGAAACAAATGTAATTAATATAAAAAGTTTTAATATTTTCATAAATTTAAATACTTGAAAACGAATTGCTGGGCTTCGATGTTACATTATTCGTTAAATTTATTCAATTATTTACTATCTCATTTAAATTTTGCTTATTATAATATCTTATTTTAATTCTTGCTCCAAAGCCGAATAGCAAGAAATGTGTTTTTCACAAGAAACTTATTATTCAATCAACCCTCTCCCTCTCCTTTGACAATTTTCCCTATTTGCACCGTTGCCCGAAGTGTCCAAAGAGGATCTGACCTTTCGCAGTCGGGATTACACCTACACAAAGGTTAGGTCTACTACGCGGGACACCGTGTACACGTTGTGTTTACTCAGTGTGTTGCATTTGGACGCGTTGACTAGGAGCATCTGTTTGGACACCCGGTGTCCAGAGGCGTTGTGGTTGGTGGACTGTTCGTGGCACGAACCGGCCAACGAGTTGGACGAGATAAAAAACAACACCGTGGTCGTGCCGGTGTGGACGTTCATCCCCATGTCGCCACATACCGAAGGGGGAGGCAAACGGAAAACGTCGAACAAATCGAAAAAGTCCAAATCGGGGTCCACGCAAACTCCGCTGAAACAAAGGGCCAGCGGCAGCGAGCATTTCGATGACGCGCTGACAACGAACCGAGATGGCGGCGGCGGCGGACCCGTCGACATCAGAACGGCGGCTCTGACGCAGAAACAACAGGGTTCGCTGGTCATCTCCATATTACTGACAACGAACAACTGTAGTGAGCGTTTTTTTTTTAAATTTTAAAAACTTTAGACATGTGTACACACGGTATTGCTGATTTGGGATCACTGCCACCTCCCCCTTCCCCATAAAAATAGCTGATATTAAAAAAAAAATTAGCATAAAAACACAATAAAACATTTTGTTAAAGGGGATGGAAAACGTTAATTTTTTTACAAATATAGACTAAAACTTGTCCACCGAACCGATTAATTTTTTTGTTACCTAAAAACAGGGTGATTATTTTAGCATGGGCCACTCATAGGGTTTAATAAGAAATTACAATTTTTGTTTTATATAATGTGAATTACATTTTTCACAATTATTTTTGTTTTTAACCCTCTCATAACTTAGAGTATTTGATAGCAACTTTTAAAACTTAAATGGTGACGCATATATTTCATGAAATTTTTAAATTGAAAATAACGTACTAAAAATGTTGACTGGTTGATAACCGGTTTTGAAGTTATTGAAGTTTTAAGTTCAGGGCAGGAGAAAAGGTGAAGTTTTTATCACACTTCCCGTCCCATCCTAACTTTTAAACTACACTACCCGTCTTACATTTTAAACCTTTAAAAACTTTAAAAATAGTTGTCCAAAACTGGTTATCAACCAGTAAACATTTTTAGTACCTACATTATTCTCAATTATGATACAACTCGGAGAAAAATAACTTTAAAAGTATTATAACTAGAAAAACTAAATATTTTTTCACCTTAAAATTAGTCGGCATATTGAAAAAGGCTGCTAGATTAATAATTTTTGCCAAATATTGCCTACCCTTTGCCCCTTAATAAATAGCTCTTTCCTATCCCCTTATTTTTTTATTTTATTATTTCAGTGATATTTCTATTTTCTTGGACCATACTGTTTAGTTACCATAAAGAGTTACAGTGTATCAACATGTGTCAATGTAATGATTAGGAAAATCACAAACCATCGATTTCTTCAATGTGAAATATGACGTTTGTTATACGAAATATAATCTGAAAAATGACTGTTTCTGTTACTTTAATTTGGTTACTACTTAACCTACTACTTAATAAACCATGTTTTGAATTAATTAATTTTTTTGATTAAATTAATAAATATTTAACTAAATAAATATACAGTGTGTTAGTTTTTTTAATACATTTCTATGTATTTAATCTGAATAATGACGGAACCTGTGTCCTACGAAGGAGAAAGACGGCTAAGCTAATCCGGTTAGGTTAGACGACATGGCCCAAGTTATTTAAGCAGTTTATTAACTAATTTGACAATGAGTAGATTTAATTTAAAGTATAAAGTAAATATTTTACTGCAGTTTACTGGCATAATTTTTAAACGACTTTCAAAACCTTAAATGTTAGCCAAAATTGTATTTGAAACAGTTGAATACTGACCGATGGGCAACAGCGGACAATCCCTACCCTGCTTGTGCATTGTACCAATAACAACTAAAATTATTTATCCAACATTTTTAGAAAAACGGTAAACATAGGTAAATTCATTGAAATTTTTAAATGCAAATGATAAAAAATATATGCAGGCAGACTAGATCTGATTTAAGTTAGGTCACAGCCCCTCTCTGCCATTGTTCATTAGAAAATAATTCTTTTAGCATATTACCCATAAACTAGTACAGGTAAATACAAAACATTTGAGGGACCAAGTATGACACGATATATTTAATTTTTGCATAAAATAATAACAATGTTCAACTTACTTCACTTTTGGACGAATCGTCACCGTCGTTATCGACATCCGGTTCTGGTTCTGGTGCTTTAGATTTCAATGCGATGCGTGTTAAATCAATCCATTCGTCGTAACGAGAATTCCATCCTTTGTAATGGACATAGTATTTCTTGACACCCTCAATGTCGCATACATTAAGAACCTAAAACAAAAAATAATAAATACAAATAATTGCAGTTTATATAAGAAATTTGGTAGGAGAAGAGTTGTGTTAAGCAACTCTAAATGTATGTGTGTTCATAAGAAATAACAATAAAAATTAAAAATCAACTTACTTTAGCATCGTAAGTAGTAGCATGTTTATCACCGTAGTAAACAACCAAATTATCTCCAACTGACACAATTGTATCTTTGTCACAATATTCAACGTCGCTGTTCCTAGATTAAATGTTAAGTGTAAGTCAGTCTAACATAAAGTATTTGCAAAAAAAAAATCTTTATTATATATTTTAAGTGTAATAAATGTCGAATTAGTAGTGTTCAAAACATATTAACTGTCAACTCACATTAGAGAATCGTTCAATACAGGCTTATCGTCTTTATCTTCTTTTTTCTTCCTGATGGATTTTTTCTTTTCAGATCCTTCGTCGACCTTTTTGATTTTATTTGCTACCTCTACTGTCGATCCACATGGCACGTAAGAACTCATGGGGCTCACAGATACTTTTCTTGCTCTTGTCGGTAGCTCATCTTTAGACTTGGAACGAGTCAACTAGAAAATCAATGGGAATTATTTTACTGAGCCCTGGCAGACTAAATCTCGGGCAACGCCGGGCCTGGGCAGCTTGTATATATATATATATATATATATATTAGACTGGTCGTTAAAAATAAAAAGTTTGCTCCCACTTGAAAAATATAAAGTTGACATCAAAAAAAGAATATCCTGAAAGTTCTAACGCTCTATCTCTATAGTAAGGAGTGCCGGTAAACTGTTTTTGTTTTTTCATATAATACGATTTTAATGATTTTTGACCTTGAATTTTACGGTTTTTGTGACGATTAAAATAAAATTAATATTAAACAAATAAATTTGGTATTAGAGATGCTTTTTACTTAAATATTTCCAGGTTCTAATGATGGATCATTCACCATGGTTTCAAAACAATTTAACTTTGACTTAAGTCTGTAAAAAGTTCTCTTTCTAATGTTGATTCAGATTATAGATATTTTTCAGTAATAGTCAATTAATAAAACCCAGAAAAAACGTATGTAAAAATTTATTTTATTTCAAATAATAAAGTTTACTCAAATTGTTTTATTACTGTGTGTTTTCTGGATTACGGGAATTTTGTCCTATAATTTGATAATACCTGCATTAGAAACCGCTTTTGTCCTTCGTCTCTTGATAAGATATTTACGTAGCCTTGTACCAAACTCACGACTCTTTCTGCAGTAACATTTAATCCCTTAACAATGTTTAGACCTTTCTCAAAATTTTCGTCTTTATAATTATACGTCACGTAGATTTATTATAACAATAATAGCGTTATGAATATTATCAATTCTTCGACAATTACATTGTAGAAAATCTCACTGAAATATCTACCTTTTCGAAATAGAAATCTAAAAATACTTCTGAATTGTTAAATTTTTTTGAAACCATGGTGTAATTGATTCTAATCATTAGGATTTGTAATATTTATTCGACACAAAAACCGTAAAAATCGAGGTCAAAATGTATTTCGTATTAATATTGGTATTTATTTGTAAAATCGACACAGTCTAATATATATTTATATATATATATATATAAATTATTAACAAAGTATTTTAACAGCTCACCTTTGGTAGTTCCTCTTCGATTTTTGGTTTGGCTGGAACTTCAATTTGGTTAGCAGAAGCTCCTCTTTTGGGTTTTTTAAACGATGGCGTTATTACTTTAACAAACGTTTTTATTTGCTCTTTGATAGATCTCATTTTTCTTATGCCCGACAGTCCAGTTTCTATTGGTTTAGTTTTTTCTACTTTTTCTTTTTTAATTCTTCGTCGCATCGATTTTCCAAAAAGATTTCGTGAGTATTTCTTCTTTTCGTCCGCCTTGTCTGCAGGCTTTGTTTCGTTTTTAATAACGTTAGATTCCTCAATAGTTTTTTCTTCTTCTTTTTTAACGGTAGCTTCTTTAAATTCCTTTTTAACCTTGCTGTCCTTAGGAGCATCTTTTGATTCAGTCAGTACTGATTCACTTTTAACAGTAGATTTGTTTCGAGCACTATTACCAGGACAAGTAATTGTTTCTTCTATTTTCGTTTTACTTGGCTTTTTAGTCACGGACTCTGTAGCCATTTCCATTTCTTTCAAAACGATTTCTGACTTTTCTTTCTTCCTGTCAATTTTGGGTGGAATTTCATCGTTGTTCTTTAATGTTGCCGCTACCTTTTCTTCTACCCTTACAGGTTTCAAGGGTTTTTTTGGTACCGACGGTTCTTTGACAATCGGTTCCGTTTCCTTCCCGATTGTTTCAGGTCTGTCTCTTTTCTTATCTACTTTCTTAGTAACATGTTCATCACTACTCTTCAGAGTTGATGCAACCTTGTCTTCGACTTTTAAAGCTTTGGAAGGTTTTTTTGGTGTTGCCGATTCTTTGGCGATGTCGGCTTCCTTTATTAAAGTTTCTACTTTTTCTTTTTTTTCCTTAGGTTCTAATTTAATGGCAGCAGTCGTTTGCCTGTTTTTATCGGAGCTGCTTGAGGTCGATGTGCCGGGTAACGCTTTATCCACATCCCGAATGATACTGCGACTAAATCTGCTTCGAGATCTCACTCCTCTGGGATGACTTAGCATTGTACAGCCGAGTTTTCGATAGAAATCTTCAAAACTATGCAGATACCTAGTACAAACAAAGTACATATTATCATTCGGTGTTCATCAAATTAATTTCTCATACATCATAACTCATAACTTATATCGTATTGTTATCATTTTAAGGTATAAATACTAAGTGCATTAATTTTTTTGGTCTTATACAATACATTTACGAATTATTAATTAATTTTTCCAAATAGGATATTATATTATAATTTTTAAGATTACAAGGTTAATTTTTTCCCTTTTTTAATAAAGTTATACGGTTATTACAATATTTTTTATTTGTTCGTGGTATACTAGCGATATTTAATACTACAAACATACACTTACTGTTGGTAATATTGTTTGACAGAAAAAACAGACTGTTCGTGGCCAACCTTTTGTGCCACAGTTTTCCATTGTTTACATTTACCGACTTTGTTAAAGCCGCCCAAGTTGTTGACAACCTAAAACATAATAAAACACTTAGAACATGACAACTGAATTCTATATTTAATATACACATAACACATCATTGTTATCAATTTCTATACAAATAATAATTTAAATATATTTAAAACTAAATTATCCCGTTAAGGATAATTTATTTGTCCAAAAATATATTGAGTATTTTAATACTACTATAAATCTAATTTAATAATTTCATTTAGTTTGGTGATTTAATGTTTGAATAATTTGCATGAATTTTGAATTCCCATTATAAACTGACGATCCATTCCGGATAGCAAATTCATCTAGAAACAATCTCATGATGGCAGCGTTGGACCTTCAAGACCCGTTAAGCTACATCATGATATTATAATGTACATTGCATAAGATTCTTTATAAATCAATATCAATCTATCATGTATGACTTAATAGCACACCAAAAGCAATTAAAATTATAAATTTTCATCGAATCTCTTTTGAAAAATTGACTTTTAAAATGATGTCAATATAAAACACAGTATCTGTTAACAGTTTTATTAACAGATACTGTACTGACAATCATTAAACACCCGAATGAATGTTGAACAGATTCTTTTTACGATAACGTGTACTTTAAATTAAATATTGATTAAATACCTTAAACAGTTTGTACATATCAACATCTTTGTCGTTAATCATAGGTGCTTGGTTTAAAGGTGTCCCTCGGTCATCCATAAATTTGAATAATTGTGCCACAAAATGGTCTTTCTCTTCAATAGATTCTTCATCAGAGTTCTAAGAAATGTTGATAATTTTATTATAAACAGTTGAAGGATAAAAATAAATCTGTAGCATTATGACAAAACATGATAAGTCAAAGCTGTTCAGTTATTTGACTAACAATACTAACAATGTTAACAAAGTTGTAAAATTATATATCAAACATGGCGAAAAAAAAAACCTAAAATTAATAAAGAAAGCTAACTAACTTCTGCCACAATTACAAAATAAAAACGTATTAAATTTTAATTTTTACATCACTATCATAGGCGCCTTCACTGTCTGTCGTGACACAGTTTTTTTCGAGCCCAAACAGTAAGTCACGGTCCCAATGTGGCGGAAGTTCATCTTTGTCCAGATATAAAATCGCTTTTTCAACAGCTATAGAAATTAAAATTATATTAACAAAAAGATAATTATAAAAAATTTTAACAATACAACAATATTTTATACAATGCTAAAGTTATAATAAATACCAGTTTTTAAAGTAGGATTTTCTACTTTGGCGGCTATTTCTTTTGTAAATTCTGTAATTTCTTTTTTTGGAACTGTATAGCTGCAAATGGAAGCGTTGTTATAGTTAATTTATAAAAATAAACACATTAATAGGTTATTAAATTTAATTAGTATTATTTATTCAACTCACTATTTTCCATCTTTGAAAGAACGAACCAAGTAGTCTTCCAAAACGTTTGTTTTGACTGCAGATTGAGCAGTAGGCGCTACTACTAACCCAGGAAACCAATTGTCTCTGACTTTTTTCTTGTCATTGGACTCTATGCACACCACTTTACCAATGTCTTTTTCTTCCATTTCTAAAATTTCTTCTTCTCCACTTTCCCTGTAAAAAATCAATCAAAATAAGATTATTTTCACTACATAAAACCTTTTGTTAAAATCATTGTATACCTAACTTTTAAAAAAAAAATAATAGCGACAATTGTTTACAAAATTAAGATTATTTAACAGCTGAACTAAGTTTATTTAGTATATAGTTAATAAATAAAAATAAACAAGTACAAAGATAGTAATTTAAAGAATATAAAACAAATCAATGAATGATTCATATTTAATTTCGATTTTTAACAAATTTTGTTAGAATAAGTGACAAAATACAAACAGATGAAATTGCTCTAGCAATGTTATAAAACCATTGAAAGTATAGTCAGATAGATTTATTTTACCCAACAGATTTCTTATGCTTTCGACTCCTACGTCCATAAACAATAGTGTTTCGTGTTGGACTAGTAATATGTTCGGGATGAGTAAGGGGAAGTTGATCGAGAGTTGCACTAGCAGCAAAATGTTTCCCACTTTTTAAACACAACGCGGATCTTTTTAAACATGTAATATCGCCATCGTCGAACACTGAGAACAAAATTAGCATTTTTTAAACAAAATATAAATATGGAATACATTTGGAAGTCTAAAATATCAAAAATAATATAATTCTTAGGAATTTGTCGTACCAACAGTGTATTGACTATGGTCCTGTATTTTTTGAATTATTCCTTCTAATAATTCTTTCTTCTCATTACATTTTACTTCGACATTTGCACCAATCTACAAAAAAAGAAACAAAAACAATAATATTTATTAATGACGGGTATTATGAACAGGTATAGATAAAATATATTATAACAATAGTAGGTATACATAAAATAAATGTTGAGCAATACATAATGGGTGGGCGGTTATAGCCATGACCAATACTATAGTAGGCATATTTATAAAAAAGCGTTTTAACCTTAAGTTGTCCTTTTACTGCATCGTCAGCCACAAATGAAACCTGTCCATTTGAATATTGAATCTAAACAACAAATTTACATTATGTTTAAATTTAATAAATGTAATGTTTATTATTATGGCAATAATAATACAGCTATGAATAGGACTTAGGATTTTTTTCCCTTAGGGTAACACAATGCAACATGAATTCAACTCAATTAAAAAAAAATAGTTGTTTAGCAAAAATCTGACTTTGTGAGTTCTGCACACTATAGGTGATGTTTCGGCAACTAGAATGGCTCAGTTGCAAACAAGTCATCATCATCTGAAGATGATGATACCATTGCATTATACTGGCATTATCAACCTACTGAATAATGTTAACTGTTGTATTTTTGTTGCCGCTAGTGAGTTAATACAAGATGATGGCGAATGAAAGTTTTATCATACTTAAAGAAAAAGTGGGACCGGCAATTGAAAAACAAGATATACAGTTCCGCCATTGTGTACGTGTACGTGAAAGATTAATGGTTAAATTGAGTATTTTAGGGTAACTTTTATCAAGCGATTAACCGCACTTGTCGATTAGTTGATTTTATGTCACATTGTATCGCTTCAGAGGGAAGTCATTGATGTATTAATTTGTGTTCCATAAAACACACGATAATCGTGAGATATTTTTTGCATTGTGTTGCCTAAGTGGTAGGACAGCCTATAAATGTTTTCTTTATCATACTAAATTTTGATTTAGCACATATTGCAAAAAACATAAAATCTGTACATATATATCATAAACTAACCTTGCATTTGACTGATTTTGAGATTTTCCTGATCTTTGCTTCACAAAATGCTCCTTTATACTTTGCACTGACCTCAGTACCGACTGCGAGAAATGGAGGTTCGTCCAAATTCACCTAATCACATAAAAACAATGTTAGAATACATCAAAAAATAAGTTTGTACGAGTTAAACGATTGCGTTTGAAAAAAAAAACTATAAAGCTTTCCAATAAGAATATTTATAAGTATATAAAAATATAACAATTGCATGCATTGAAACAACGATTATTGGACTTAAAATATAGACTGTGAGGCCTAAATAAAATGGTGTACCTTGATGTATTTAATACAAATGTCAAATTATGTGTTCACATTACAATTTTACCTTAGAGTAAACAAAAAACTGAAAATAGTTTACTAAAAATATGTTACCACACCTATTGAAACAATAAAACCCATTTAGATATTTTTACATAATTATATTTAAACTGTTCAGTATCAAAAATACATACATACATTTATAATTTGTAAATAGCATATTATGCAAAGTAATTATTAATTATACACCATTGTGTTAAGATAAAACAAAACTCACAGTCACAATTATAAGTATTGTATGACTTAAAACAATTATTACATTAACATGACAGTTATGTGTTAGATTTCATTAATATGTAAAGAAGAAACTCACAATTATCCATTAAACCATTTTTGAGGTGTTACACCAATAGAATAATGTAAAAAATTAGTTATTTGTACATAAATAATAAAATGTAAATAATAATGGTGCAAACCTTTGGTTGATATTAAGTACTCAAATTATATAGTATTTCTCAGAATTATAAACTCCGGTTGACTAATATCCCTAGTCTTAATCAATACAATGTAATGCATGACCATAGGTTGACTTGCTTTCAAAAACCTGAGTACCTTGCAGTCGAGTGACTATTCCCAAAGAAAGATTTCCGAATAATCATTAATACAATTTAGTCTATTCAATTTTTTTTTTTTGGCAAACATAAATAACTTTGGAGAGATTCAGCAGTATGAAGATCAAAAACCTAAATCCTGATTAAAGAGACTTCAGGTTTAATCCAGTGTAAATTATAGCACATTCATCTCCATAAACGCAGTAGTAAAGTTTTATAATTCGCTGGTTCGAAGCAATAAAAAAAAAATGTAATTGTTGATGTACACATACAATATATGACAAGGTTAAGTTATAAACTATTAAAAAAAGTTGTTTTTGAGTTGCATTAATATTAGAAAATAGAATTACAATGGCTTGATGTAATAAATTCACTAATAAAATTAGGAATAATTTATCAACCGGAATGCATAACATTGAGATATACTGTATACCTTACGCCAAGTATATATATATATGTAGTTATATATAGATAAGTAACATACATTTTATAAAACATACGTCCATACTACATGCTGATTTCCATTTAAGTTTATTGAACTAATGGAATGACAAGCAGTTACATGTAGTAGAACCCGTTCATATGTCATCTTTTTCATTCTGAAATCAACCCATGGTTAAACACAACTAGGTTCATTTGTTCACTTGGCATCATTAATAAGTGCAATCATTACCAAAGTTGAGAAAACCAACTTTCTGAGTAAAAAGACAATAAAGTGTAACGTTACTAATATTTCTTTACGATTACAACAATTCATTGAAACGTTATATTTTAACTAAAGTTGCCACGTGTAAATAATTATTATGACAATAATTGTTTTAAAAAAAAAGTTTTTTTTCAAATAACAATAAAAGTATTAATTATTACAAATTTGTATTATTCCATTTAATAAAAATTATATAAAGCATAATATCTTGTTACTAATTTTTTTTTTGAAAATCTCATCTGATGTTTATGTTGACATAAATGTACTACGATTATTATTATTTCTTCTACAATGCATATTTCAATAATAAATTATAACAATTGGCGAGAATGTAAATGTAAAATGTATTATTATTAATTCTTATGGCAAATCACTAACTTCAATAATTACAAATATAAAATTATTTTATCACAACAGTAATGGGTTCATTAATCGATTATGACCGCATATATTCTAATGACCAATGGCAACTCTAGCCTGAAAACACATTGTAAATATTTCATGAAGAAAGTTTGAGCCAAATTTTAGTTACATTAATCCTAACACACCAAACAGATTTGGAAATACAAAATTATAACAACAGTGTTCTATATTATATTATTTTTACACTGCGCATGCATAAATTATTTAACGTTATTGTACATTAAGTTGTATGCTGAATCAATAGTGTAAGCCAATAAAGAAACGACTAACACTCAATTGAAATAATAATAAAAAAAAAATTGAATACTTTAAGAAGGATCGTTATGAATCAATAATTAATTGAAAAGTTAGATTTGTTACAGACAGAGTCCGATAAGAGATTTATTACTATAGAAACCAAATTTATAACCAATTGAAAAACTAATATACTATAATATATTTTCTTTGAAACACGAATATGTTTATATATAAAAACTTAAAAAATTTTAAAAATAATGATAAAAACCAGTTCTTGTAAATTTCAAAAATTATTAAAGCACAGAAAATTTACAACATAGATAAATATATTATTTTTTTCACATTATGTTATTGTAAAAACGAGTACAACTATATACAATTGGGTTATATTTGACGTAAATTATGAAAACAAAAATCAAACATTCTATTCCTTTCTCCATAAGCTGTTAACAAATATTTAAAAATGACCCTTTGCAACCATTACAAAAATATCAAAAGTTAATAAGCGATTTATAGTAATTAAACTTCTAACCAAACACCAATCTAGCTCAATTATAAATATTCTTCTTCATCTATCAAAAATGCATAGATAAAGAATATTGTTAAATTACACACTTTGTTAAAATGTATACATTACATATTGTATTTGTTAAACTCTAATGTACGGTTTTACACAAAAGCCATTCATTAAAAAAAATACAACACTTATGTCAATTAGTTTAAATCAGGCAGTGAATTAATTGTCATATTTAGTATTTGTTGGACGTTTAAATTATAGCCCGGTTTATAATTAATAATGTCGTCACAGAAGAACATAAATAAATTGATTACTCCAGGGTTGATGAATACACAAATAATGTATAACACTTGAGTGAAATGTTACAATATGGTAACTTTGAAAAGTTATAATAATATCTTAAAACATGTTGACTGAGCTTATGACTTGAAAATAACCATTACCTACCTTAACAATCACAATTACAAATAGCATTAACAATCAATATGCTTATACACAATTAAGGTATACATCAAAACCTATATTAATTTTGGTTTCTTATATTAATTAGCGCAAGAGTAATATTTCAAAACAAAATTTAATTGACTTTTGAAAATACAATAATAGCACAATTGTTTTTAAATAAGTATATATATATATATTTTTTTTGTGCAATTATTAAAATCTGTAATGTACATTTTTTTTTTTATAAAAACACAGGATACGGTAAGTTTTGAACTAATAGTAACAAGTGTTTACAAATTGTTAAAACAAAGATTGACCACCAATAAGTTTTGGTAAATGATCATGCACCTTAATAAACAAAGTAAACTTCAATCCATAACCGTGTAAATAATAAAAATAAAAAAATTAAATCAGTGGCAGGTGGTCAGGTGAGGAAGGTAAGTAACGCTAATGGCTATTATCATATTTTGATAATATCTGCTTGACAACTACATAGAACCTAGAGACCGCCACTGAAAAACCATAACCATTTCTAAATATTGATATTATTGTACATCAATAAGCATTTTAAATGAACAAGAACCATAATATAAACAAAAATTGTTTACAAAAAAGCAATTGAATTTAAAGTCAGAAATCTCCAACTACAATTCTAGGATATTATCAAATTACCATTATATTATGGGTTTTCAATAATGTAAGTAGTTAAGGGTTAGTTTAAATTAATCCTATTATTATATGTTTGAACACTTATTTTAACGGTTTGGCTTAAACTTTCTGCAATATCTTGTTTTAGATCAAAGCTTATATAGAGATTTAAATTAATTAACTTTCAACAATAAATACTAACCATGATGATTTTTGTGTTTGTCCTCGTGCACAATATTACTAATTTACGGTCGCACCCGTTTAATCAAATTATAATGTATATTGAATGTGATTTTGATCTGTAACAAAACAAAAATTCAAAGTTCATTTATGGTTATATAATAATTTTATTATCTATTATGATTGAATTTATAAAACTTCTATAAATTTCAAGTAATGTCAAGTAGGTATCAAATTATCACATATTATAGGCACATTATTAACACTCATAATATCATACAACAAAAGCTTAGTTAGTTTTGATAAAAAGTAGTGGCTTCTTGACATTTCTATTACAGTCCGTACATATCCAATGATATGGTTTATAACTTCTACGTAAACTATACTACGATACAATATAAAGGTGTAAGACATATAATATAGTGTGCAGTTGTTTATCTGTAATTGGGTTAACTACTAAAAAACTTAGTAAGTAACTACAAAGATATAAAGTATCACAGATAAAAAGATGGCGTCGAAAAGTCAGTGGTAGATTAACCACCCAGCAGGCAGTTACGAGGGTTTGATTTTCAGTCACGCTGGTAATTTTTTTATAATTTTTAGAGTTATTAACATATTGTCTAACATAAGCAAACAAATGTCAAAATCCTAGCTAATATTAGTTATTAGGTAAGTATGACGCACGCAGAGATTCATCCATATTTGTTACAATATTATCCTAACTTTAATCAATTATAATAAATTTACAATGCTGTAGACTGAAAATCACAAAAATACTATGTGTCAAGTAGGTTTACCATAAATGATGGAATGCCACAGACTACTCTACAGAATGGCACAATAATATAAATTTATCGTTCTCGTAACATTATTAATTATGTTACCGAAACAAATATAACATTTTGGTTGATGCAGTAGATTGGACTAAACATAAATTAATATTCCAAAACTACATACGCTTTAGGTATTAAGGTTTTTATCAGTTAATTTGTAGACTTGTTACAATGAATATTTGTTTGCAATGCCTAATCGAATACTGTACAAGGAATCAGAAAACATCTTTTTGGAAACAAATTAGAGAAATATTATAAAGATGGATACAGTTGTGCATTAAACGGCGACAGGCAATATGTTATCAAAAGGACAAAAAAAAGTTCTATGTTGAAATGAAGAATAGCACTAAGCCGAGCATATAAACAATTTACACAATATTAGAATCATTTTACTCACTACATAATGGCCGATTCTTGTTTTCTAGTGTAGATTTCGACCGACGAAATCATCATAGACGTGGGCGATGCATTTGGATCTAGAAATAAAAAAGTTGAAATAATGCGATGGAATTTCGAACGTCTATTGATGGTAAACCTAAAAAAACAGTGTAGATAAATTACCTTGCCCGAAAAATAATTTCGTTTTGCTTATTATCCGCGTTAATTCGTATCTCAAATACACTATGCAAAGAAAATTTAACGATTTTTTATTCTTTTTACTTTGTACACCAAACTAAAGCCGCTGGTAGCTGTTGGCCAAACAACATCGACTAAACAGTAAACAGTAAACAATAATCGGTAAACGGTGGTAAACACTAAACGGCAGACAACACAAGCCGAGCCAACTGATTCACAGCAGCAGCAGCAGCTCCGAATCAGTACTTGATATCTATGTAGGTAAATAGCTGTAGACAAGACGATTTATTACACAGCTCGTTTACACTAATCGACGACGATTTTGATAACCGATTGTGGCCAAAACAAAACAAGTATAACAACGCAAGCCAGATATGCGCGGATTTGCGCCAGTGAGCGCCACAGTCTTAACACAAACCGTTGGCGGACAATCAGTCATGGAAGAAACGATCACTGATGTGATAACGCGTTACCGCCAAAACGACCGTGCCGCCTAACAATATTGACAATAATTAATTGTTATCATTTTTTTTTTAAACTTTTCATCTTTAAAGTTATATTAATTCTGTGGCCTGGGTCTTAAAGGGCCAATCTCACGTTTTGTAACTTTCGGAAAATGAGCTTTAAAGTTTTTATTCTCCTCTAGGCTCTATGAGTGTCATTTTTATCACAATAGGTATATAAAGGATGTTTTAATTTTTGTGTTTAGCTATTTAGACTAACTCGTTTAAGCCTAAAATTGACACTGGCCCTTTAGACCCAAGCCACAAAATTGTAAGTTTTTTTTTATTTTTATTTTAAATAATATTTACGAACTGTACATACAATAAGAAAACATGTTAAGGCATTCTTCTAAAATTCTGTAAATAAATGACATGGGAGATTACGAGTAGGGAACCTATCGAGTGATAGGAACCTTAAAACAGGTTTGGCTAGAAATCAAGAAGTAGCATTGCAATTTAGAAGATCACAACACCAACGTCTTTTAAGACAGCGAGGGGGTCGTCTGGAATAGTGGCTGTGTGCTGGCAAGAATTGTAAGTTAAAATAAAAATAACATAATCAACTTTTCACTTGGATCGTATTTTGATAAATAAAATATTATTCATGTATTTATTTTTATGTCTTTAAAAACTAAAAATTTTTAACTTGTACATTACTTTTTTCTCATTAGTAATTATAGAAAATAAACGAGTAACTTAAATGATTAAAGTAATAGTTCAGTTAAGCAAGTTATCCAATAATTTTTTCTACTTCAGACTAAAGAATTGATTCTGATATTTAAAATAGTATTACATACCTATATATATGCGTTTATAATAATATTAAAGGTAATACATAATTACCATAACACAATTGTATAGAACTTCTGCTTTTAATGTTGGTTATTTTCCAAAGGTCAGTACCTACCTTGATTTTGAGTAAGACCGTTTGAAGTTAAGTCTCTGCCTGCCTGTATGTAGGTATGTTACACTTAATGCAAGAATGGGGACATTTCTATGAGATATTTTTATGATTACCTAATTTGTATTATCGGGATTGGGTTTTAGTCTGTGTGATATTTTGCAAACTCGACTCTTCCCATTGTGTAACAAAACATTATATTAGAGATCAGTTATTATTATTATATGGTGTATTTTTATAATATATACATTGATACAGACACGTTTATAAGCATCCTTATAGAATATTTCTGTTATAAAATATTATAGAGACTCTAGTTTCAACTTAATAATTAAAGATGTTAATAAACTTGTAAAATGTATAACCAATTTAACTTCAAATACTATTTTCCAAAGTTAAATAATGATTTTTTAACAAACTTACATTTATTACTAAATATATATAGTTGATCGAAACCGGGTGTAACAAGTAGTATTCTGTGTTATAATATAAAATAAGTTCATAATACAAGTTAGAAATTATTGTTTTTTTTTTAGTTGATATTCTTATTTTATATTAATATATTTTTACAAGGTGACATTACAATTATTCACAAGGTGTAATTGATCAGCTACACATGTGTACATATCAAATTAAATTTTAAACATGTTTATAGTACTTAAGAATTATCAAAAATAAAAAATAAGAAAATATATTGTAAATAATCATATCATGAAAAAAATAAAAAGTAATCTAATAAACAATTATAAACAAATAACATCTTAACATGTTTAAATAAGAAAGAAAAACAGTAATTATAATAATGGGTCTAATTCTATAATGTGCAATAGATCTTTAGCTTTATTGTATTTAACAGTTGCTTTATCGACATTTTTTAATTTGAACAGATTGTTTCCTTCCGTATATAATTTCTTTGCCTTATTCAAGACTTTTTCATATCTGTTAAGATTTCGAACGTCTTCATCGAATGCCAAACTATGTTCTTGCGAATAATAGTTTACCAGATCAACCTCAAAATGAATCATTGTGTTTGCTGATATACGAGGTGGGCAACCTAATTCTTTGTAAGCCAAGTCAGGATGAATTAAAAATCTAGCGTGTTCAATCCGCCCGTGTACAATTTATAGATTTTAATTTAATAATCAGAAATTGATCAATTGGTTAATTTTCGTGCATGTTTTGTAATACATATATATATTTATTTTTATAACCTATGATTTGTTTTAAAACAAAAAAGTGCTTTAGGGGATTGAAAGCGGACGGTTTTTAATGGGTTTTATAAAAGGCAATATTTAAGAAAAAAGCGACTTTTCGACCATTCAATCTAGTTTCCGGTTACTTTGTCTAAGCTAGGGGAATCATTTTTAATTTTTACAATTTATTAATCGAGTAAAGGCCATTTTGTGCCTATAAGAAATTAATTAAGACCTAAAATCTTGACAAAATTATGCCTACTTAGAATGATTGGATTTTAATTCTGTAAAAATATTTGAGCTCTTCAGCTTTTTTTCTAGGTTACAGTGTAAGTCAGATTAATAAAACAATATATAGAATACTAAAAACTTAAGAAATTAAAATAGGATTTAAACACATTTTTAATTGAAATATAAAAAAATTATTCACAAAATAACCTTGAAAAAAGGCCGATAAACTTGAATTTTTTTTATATAGAACTGAAATCAGATATTCTACGTAGGCGTAATTTTGTCAGGCTTTTAAGTCTAGAACGTTGAAAAAACCAGTCCGCTTTCAATCCTCTTAAAGGCTGAAAATAGTTTATAACATTAAACTCTTCTTAACACAATATTGTAATTTTTTTTTAATTATATAAAGAACTTATTAGGAATGATAGTTGTGAAGTGACCGGATGGATTACATAACCATGATCCAGACATGGATATATTTGCTCGCTGTACGTACAAGAAGACTAACCCTTAATCGATGTGCTACGGAAATGACGACCCTTAAAGTCATTTATGATGAAGAGATAGCACAGTAATACCTACCTTTAATAATACTTTAAAAATTAATATCAATGACGGCAATATATTTTATTACATCGTTTAAACTGAGCTGATTAATCCTATTTAATAACTTGATGTCCCACAAACCCAGGCGGAGGCAACTGTGGCAGCTGAGCTGCCTCACTTACGACCTATTTTATTGCATAGTGATCGTTTAATTTATCCATAAGTTATTTTCATAATATATTCGTAATTAAAAAATCTAACAACCGTAAAAAATTGTTTCACCTGAATAAGCATAAATAATTGCGCAGTTATTTATAATTTAAGTATATGTTGAATCAGTAAATTGATAAAATAGGTGTACGTCGTAGTACACCCTTGAAAACTAAGTCATGCTGGAAACTATTTTCATTAAAAAATGTCCGTATTTTCCTCTTAATTTAATAGAAGTAGCTTAATAAGCATGTTGTATGCGTTTTAGACTACCATTATTAATTATTTATAAACTTCTAAAATGACAAGTTTTTTTTTATTATGTTTCAAGCAAGTTATTGTTTCTATACAACCTGAAGGAACGATGCGCTGGGGCAAAGTCCCTACATTTAAAAATAACATTATATATTGCCTCCCCTTTGATTGAAGTCCGCAAACGCTTGTGGCCATTAAGATGCATATTAAAAAGTTATTTTATACATCTAATTAGTATATTTTCATAGAACACTAAGTAACTGTATACCACTAAATACCTATAAAGGTATTTCGTAAGCCTTTCTGTTCAATAATAATAAAACAAAATTCGTTTTATTACTATTGAACAGAAAGTATTTAATACTTAAAATAAAAGTCTTACCGTTTTTAAATATAAGTACACTTAATATTAAAATTAAGTTTTCAAATCAATCAGCAAAATTATTTAGTAGTTCAAGACTTACATATTCTATACTTAGATTAAACCACGTTAACAATCAATTGGCGTACACCAGCTTCTTGAGAACAATGGAACGGGCCAGGGCCGAGGCTCAGCCATCGATACCCCAGACTCTCTTGGGATATGCGGGCAATTTGTCCGACCCAAGGTACCGCCATTTGTTTTTAACAGCCAATCACCAAGAGTTGTACAGGGGCTATTTGTATAGATGGCAGTGTAGAAGTTGGTGAACCAGTAATTTTCATTTCACCTTCGATGATAAAGTAATAATCAATAACAAAAAACAAATGTATTACAAAGAAAACATTGCCTATTGTCCCAAAAAATAAGTATTTATAAAATACAACTTATTTCAAATAAAAATGTATATGAATTAATTTCTTTCATATAACTACTGCTTGTAATATTCTGTGGACAAGCACAGCAGTGTATTTGAAAATTAGTTCAATAGCAAATTGTTTTAATACCAATCACCACATTTTAGTATTTATAATTGCTTAGCTAGATTTTTTTTCTTTCATAGACAACATTAAAACTTAAATGCGAAACCGCACTGACCAATGAGATCGACTCTGCCAGCTGCCAACCTGCAACGCTGTTGGTTTCACGTGGTTCAAGTATGAAAAATGTTTTTAATAAACCATCTCATTATTTCCCGGGGCTGGACATCACCATCAAATCAATAGAGCACCAGTATTTTAAGGATTGTTCGCCTATTAAACTCCACTGTTCTGGTGACACCCTATTGTTATTTAGTCTCAATCTCCGTGTAGGCCCCATCAATTACACCTTCAATAAATAATTATTTTTATTTTATGCTTGATTTAGTTTTGGATATTTAAAACTCAATAATTAAAATTACCTTTAATGCAAATATTTTCTGGCCATTTTCTTATTCATCAACTTTGCAAGTATTAAATCACAATAGTCTCGTTTCTAAAATAATAACTATTATAAAATATAGCATAGTGTGTGGCCATTTAAAAATGATTATGGTAATTTAATAGGCACTCGAGAAAAATGCTAAAGAGTTTGGCATGCGGTGACGTGAAAATCGAAACGACTTGGCGTTGCCTAATATATTCCGCATTTCGAAGGCTCTGGCCCTTTTACCGGTCGAACACGTAGTCGAGGGTTTCAATCTGATTAAAGAAGAAAGTTTGATGGCGGTAAATCCAAACATTGCTCGTCGCTACGTTGAGTACTTCGAGAGCCAATCAATGAACCGTAAGTGCTGTAACCCAAGAAAATCAGTTTTTCGAATCATTTATGGATATGACTATATTAATAAAATTTATCTAAATTAATACGATTTTACACGTTGCTACAGAATATTGATGTTTGCTGAAATTCCTAGACATCAAATTAAGATTAATTGTGTACTTTATATCCTTACAACCACAGCTATACACGTTAAAACTCCTCTTAACTCCAGAAGTATTAAAAAAAAAAAAATGCTTGCAATTTTTAAAAAAAGGCTAAACTGATGAGATTTTTAAACATTTTAATAAATACAATGTATTTATTCATTGCTATAAACTGTATTAATGTTTTAATATAAAATGCTTAAAAGTTAAAAAAAAATGTATTAATTTTTACAAAAAGTTGTCTCGTCATTACTTACTAAAATAATAATTGCTATAGGAGTTGGTGTAGAGAATTTTAGCGTCCACGGGCAAGCCAGGCGCACAAATAATGACCATGGGGTGTTTCATAGAGTGTTAAACTTAACCAACACATTATTTAAACTTAACCAACACATTATCACTCCCAGACCAGGGATTTGGAACCTTACAAGTAAAATAAATATAATTGGTATAAAATAGTTAATTAGCTATGAAATAATTTTTGTTTTAATTATAGAAATACTGCTCAAAATAGATAACATTTACAGCCGTTAATACCAACAGCAACTGGAGCGCCCGACATTAAGACCCCGTCGTCCACAGTATGTCCTTCAAGACGGGAACATAAAAGCGGCGATTGAAAGATTGGAGCAAGGCCGCTTAACTGTACAAGGACTTCTTTTGTATACAGGCCACTTGGCTTACAACATAGGTATACCGACAATAGTCCTAAATAGATATAACCACCACGCAACAAAATTTTTTTTCTTATAACAGGGGTAGACTGATCAAATTGTAGGTATTTTAGGGCCACAAACTCAAAAAATCAAGTTTATTTCGTTTCATCAGCTCTTGTTTTCGTATAAAGGACATATGTATTTGATGAGTGGCGGAATTCAGTTGAACAATATAATTTACAGACAAACTTGGTCAAATGTGGTTGTTCTTTTGTAATTACTTAAGTCACACTAAAAATTGACATAAATTACCCCAAGTACTGAACAATGTAACAGAGACCTAGATAATAAGTAAGAGAAAATAAAAAAAGAGATTTTAAGCTTGGCCCATATGTTTTGTTATAAAAGAAAGGGCCTTCATGGCCCGTTAAGCTACAATTTAAAAAAAACCCTAATAAACTTAATTTTTTTAATAAGGAATATAATAAAATAACAGATTATAAATAAAGTTAAGTTTTATTTTAACTTACAATTTAGAATTGGGAGATGGTGAGCAGCAAAATGCTCCCGTTGTTGAGGCTGCTCTTGTTGTTGAAGCTGCTCTTGTTGTTGAAGCTGATTCTGCTGTTCAAGCTGTCCATGATGATAACGCCATTCTTCCCAGTAAGGCTCTGAATAGAAAAATTAAATATTAAAAATAATTTTTTAACGACTTGGTTCTAGAGTTCATCAGAGGGTTGGAAATGGCCAGACTGCAGAGGGAGCAAGAAAATATCCCATTTGTTTGGGCAAATTTGAACGAGACTGTAACACCGCGGCATGCAAACAGTTGTGGCATTTGCTTGGCAGCCACCAATATACATGCCTGCATTCCATGTGGCCACAAATGCTTATGCCACGATTGCGGCGAGGGGCAGAGGGCGTTGCCCCGTATGCAATTCACACATCCTTCTCAAAGTCAGAATTTTTGACTGACATTAGATTGTGTATATATTATATTGTAAATATATTTTATACTGTAAATAATAATAGTGTAAATATAAAATAGTATAAAATATGTAGCGATATACTATCAATAATTTTTTGCTGAAGTTATATTTTATGCTAAGTTGAATATTTTTCATGCAATGGTTAAGATTGCATAATATTTAATTATTAAGCGACAATTCTATTTTTTGACAACTAGGTCATTTTAAATTTATGTACGCATAATAAAATACTTAATAATTTCGTCCAGGAAAATTCTAAGAAAAAACATTTTTTTTGTTCAAGTGTGATATTAATTAGCGAAGTGCAATAATTCGAGTTGTAGCGAAAATATTACAGTTATTAAAGTAACATTTTCTTAAGATACATGAAAAACGAATTAAACTAAAATCGTTATATTTATTATACAGTTACATTTTACAAACCATTGGGTTTAAAATGTCATTTTAATTATTACATGACGAATTTTTAAAATACATAAAAAATAAATCCAAGAACTTACAAATTAATTGTTTCTTCATTTTTCTGAGTGTAGTAGATATAACAGTGAATAAGCTTTTATTAAGCAACTGACTTGAAAATTACAATAGTACTTACTGTACATCAGTACATCGAACAATATTTTTAAAATTATTTTACAAAATTTAAATAATTTATTTTGTTTGCAATCCAACACAAGGTTGTTGTGACTTGTGTTTTAAAAAAATGTACACGTATATTGTATTACTAATTAATTTATTCTTACATCGCAAATCATAAATTCAGATTTTGCCACAAATCTGAAATTGATTAAATCGTAGACATTTTCAAACATGTGTATAGTTTAAAATATATTGTTTCCTGCAATGATACAGACTAGAATAGTAGAATTACATTTACATACATCAGGTATTTTACATTTCGTTCACAATAATATTAAGTTGGCGAATTTTTATAGTGCGCCAGGTCGTCTATAAACGCCTCTACTGTCATTATCCAAAATACATTTTCATAATTGTGTTTTAATATAATGTATTATTTAACGTATAAATTACGTTTTCTTTGTAATTAATATATTTTCGAAAATATTTAAACACTGAATAACTGATTATTTGCACCGTCTATTATTAGTAACTTTTTCTAATGAATTAGATATGTAATTTTTGTAAGTTTGAAAAACTACCCGAAAATACAATTTTTTTTGGGGGGACATCTATTTTGTAAGTTTTTAGTTTCATAATATTTTCAGATAAATCAGACGATATGGTTAAAGAAAGAAGGAAGAAACAGTTTCTGATGTACACAATAAAATGGTACATGTTGAAGAGTGTGACATAATCAGGGAAACGACGAGAGCAAGAGCTTCCCGAAATGCGTATCAAGTTCGAGAAAATTTTGCTGATTACTTCGTTTCGCCAACTGGTTCGGTGTAATGTCAAGAATTTGTGACTTTAGGCTTTAAACGTTAATGGTTTTCAAAGATAAACGTTATAGTTTTAAATATATTTTTCCAGAAATTGGCCATTTAAAACATAAATATTTAATTAATAATGACATAATACAATTATAAATTTGCTATACTCCGTACGTCTTGGTTATTTCCTCTCAATCGAGCCCCAATATATTTAAAAACGGCATTTTAACGAAATAGATCCCTTAATGACACCCGTATCTCAATGTTCCCTCAGTATTGCCAGTATTATAATTAGTGAGTGGGCACCACAGCCATAAAGTATAAACAATACACCGATAAACACAATATTTTTGGAAAACACACACACACGCATGTTTTATATATATATATGTATTAAAACAAACTAGGAAAGTAGTATATAGTAACCCGTTCTTTGGTGACGACCGCTGAAATTATATACCTAGATGTTTGTATTGTACACGTCTGAGTTTATAATATATACAGTCTATTATAACAGTAATAGTTTATTTGTGTGTTTGGCCTTCCAGCTACAGACACTTTAAAAGACAGAGCGCTAGGTGGCATTGCGAAGAAATTGTTGCAGAGGTTTTCGGCAGGGTAACATCGCCCTCTTGTTGCGATACGTTGCGAATCAATGTTGCACGCATTTGGATTTTGAAGGAAATGCACAGCGTTGCATGACGTCGCGCCGGTGCGTTTCCGCCTAAATAAATGCATTCGGGGCTCAAGCCACAGAACTGTAGGCATCGATCGGCTTGACTGTAGGTGGTAACTGGTAAGTGAAATACGGTTAGGTTAGGTCACCGGCGTTACGGTCTCGGCCAGCCTCGGCACTCGTCGGACGGCAGCGGCATGGTCGGCGGCTGAGCGTCTGCGGCGTCTAGTCCTTTGCTGTCATCGTCGGCGGCGAGGGCGTCTAAGCTTCGGATTGACAATCTAACCGGGCTGGTTCAACATGTTGTCGGCTGTAATAGTGATTATTTTGTATCATCAGTACATAAGTGTAAATCTTTTATTATTTATTATTTCATTAATTATTTTAATATGAGCGACATTACACTGAGCCCTGCAAAAAAAAATCTCAGGATGACATCATACTATTAAGTGATTCAAGCCAAAGGTTAGTTTACTGTTTATTTTATTAATAATCAAATAATAATAATAATGATAACATTATTATAAAATTGTTGGGCACAAAATCCCTGTTGTATAATATTTTCAAAGTTGAACAAAAAAATTCCGTGCGACGTACAGATTTAAAGTACTGTCGCGGCCGGACGCGCCAGTTCTATATCTAAAAAATGAATAATAAAATAAATATAATTATAGTTGTTTGTTATTATTATATTATTAATTTATATAGAGGAAAATACTAAATTATTATTGTTTATCAAGTTAATAACAAATTTTTATTTAATTATTTCCACTTGGCTTATTTTTTTAATTTTGAACATAGTTGGAAAAATAAATTATAGTACAATTAAAATTAATTGTATATTATACTTCTAGTTGTTTTAGAAATGAAGGACACAGGGGAAAAACGGTAGTTGTCACATTATGAAAATTTTAGAGTATAGCAAAAACAAAGTTCGTGAATTCCTCTACCTCATACATAAGAACAAAAAAAATCACATTAAATGCTACTCTAACAATAAATATATTTATTTAAACAATCTATTGACATAAATAATAAAAATGATTGGCATAAATTGAAAAAACTATTTGAAAAAAAAAATTTCATAATGTGACAACTGCCGTTTTCCCCTGTGCCCTTCAAATGTTTAAACGATTTTTTCTTATTTTCCCAAAATTTCAAAAAGTGTTGGTAATTAGTTTTGGAAATGAGTTACTTATACTTTTTTTAATCGACTAATTTAAATTCGATTTTATTTTTGGCGGTAAAGTGAATCATAAAAGTGTTATTTATGTCTGGTTTTTGATGACAGTGATATCGACGGGGGTCAATATTACCTATTATTATATATCATTATATTATTTATTGGAATCTTGTCGAGGTACTGTATTTAAAAACAGAACGAATGTCGATCTTAAATTAATATATTTACAAAGTCATAAGTAGCTAGCCAAAAAGTTAAAAATTCAAATGACAATATTCAAACATTAGAATTTTTTACTACACGGTTAAAAATACTTAAAACTATGTGTTTTCATTAAAAAAAACAAAGTTGATAGTCTTGTTACGTAAGTATAGTAAGAGATGATTTAAAACATTTTCAAAGTATTGAAAAATATAGTAAAATATTATGTACCTACAAGTACAAGAATAACATTTTTTTACAAATATTAATATTTTTCTAAGGAGTGTCTTAC